CAGGTCGGCTCGTCTGCAGAGGAGGCGTCGCGACAATCCTTTTCTTGCCAGGCTTGCCAGTTTGCGCAGGTCGGCTCGTCTGCAGAGGAGGCGATGCGGCAGAAGCAGGCGAGAAGGCTGGCAGGAGGAAGCTGCCGGCTGGCTCGAAAGATTGCGTGAGAGGCGAGGTAGGAAAGAGAGGGGAGGGAGCATGGAGTGAAGGTGAATGGTCGGGAATGGCCGAGTCGAAGACGATGCGGTCGGAGCGAGGGAGCGAGCCGGAGTGAGGACGTAGTGCGTCCTGTGTGAGGGGTTGCGAGGCCCTGGAAAACAGGACGGCTTAGCTGCAGAGACCCTTTGAGAAGTGAACGGCGAGACGCACAAGTCGACAAGAAAGCTGGTCCTGGCAGGAAAGGCAAACGAGTGGCCTAAGGCTGACTGGTTCGGCCAAACGGGCGACAGTGGTCGCGTCGTTCCCCATTCACCCACGTCGACCGCTCCTTCCTTGCCCTTCAGCGAAGGACGCAGCATCGCAGGATGGTCCTGACTGGCTCGCCGGTAGACGACCGCACCGCTTTCCGCACCGAGGGCGGGAGTGACGGGCGAGTCGGCGGATGTGGCGGAGCCTGACGAGGCTGAGGGCGTGCGTTGAAGAGAGGAAAAACGCTGCGGATGGAGCGAGGTCGAGCTGGATGGGTAGCGGTCGTGTTGAGCGGCGGATAGGGACGAAGAGGTAGCTCGGGTCGCTGTCGAGGTCGTCGTAGCTGATCTGCGGCGGCTCGCTGTTGCACAAGGGTGGATAGTGAGCAAAACAGCCGGCGAAAGAGAGGAAAGGACGGCAACGTACCAAGACCAGTCCCGCCAACCTCGTCCCGACCAGACTGCGACGTCTGTCCCGTCCTCCAGCTCGCATCGCCGGCCTTCCTGCTGTCGGCAGTCGTCTGCAAGCCCGACGAAGCTCCCTCATACGCCCAGTCCCGCCTCTGCACTAGCCCCTCCCGCCCGCTCGCACTCCTCGGGAGACTCGCCATCCCTCCTGCCCTCCCGCCAGCTTCACTGGTCGCCATACGCCCCCAACCCTCGTTCCCTCGTGCCGTCGTGGACCTCATCACCGCGGTCGGATCCGCAGCGAAGGGCGTCACCGTCGTGCCAGGCGTCGAAGCGGGTGCTAGAGGAGGTTGAGCGAAAACGCCGGGGCGAAGCGTTCTGTGCGACGAGCTGGCTGGGAGAGGGAGAGCGATGTCCATCGCTTCATTGGGACGTCACGATAGGAGAGCGAGTTGGACTTGAATTGGCGAAGGGAGAGGAGGCCTGACCGCGGCGAGGGGGCCGACGAGGAGAGGAAGCGTGGCCGAGCGTCGTCGAGGAAGCGTCAGTCTCGAGTGTGCGCTGCAAGGAGAGCTGCGCCCGAAGAACGACGCCGTTGTTGAGTGACGAGGGAGGACAAGCGGCGGGATCGAGGCAGGAAGACGAGAAGACGCACGCGAGCGGGCGACGGAGGCGATCGCGAGTTGCTGGACCGTCGCAGGGCAGCTGGTGTCGTCTGGCAGGTCGCAGGACGGTAGTTGTGCGTGTTGGGACGGAGGAAGAGACTCGAGATTTCTTCGCCTCGCTCCCCTCGAAGCTGAACTGCGCCGTGAACTGATGAAGGAGAGCGCGACTCGACGTGTGTGTAATCGACTTCAATTTAGCACAATTGAAGGCGGGGTAACCAGAGCGCAATGTCGACCGAGGTGACCTTCCCAAACGACCATTCTCTCGCTCGCACTCTGCTCGCAGACGCAGTGAGGGGCGACGAATGACAACACAGGCATTAGCACGAACGGGAGGGTACTCGTACAAGGCGGAACAGACGAAACAACCGGAAGCACAGCTGGAGAACACCCTTCCCTCGACTCCCTCGCACCGTCCACCCGCCTCACACGCCGTTCTCGGCGTACTTGGTCAAGTCGAGCGTGAGCGTCTTCGAGCCTGCCTCGCGGTAGATACCGACGAGCGCCGAGGACGACTCGAACATGAGCTGCTTGTGCGTGATGACGATGCACCTGCGCAGAGAACAGCACAGTGAGTGAGCGTGCATCTCGCAACGCCTGCAGCACACTGAGCAAGGCGGATTCGCTCAGCAATGCAGAGAACGAGAAACGCACTGGAAGTCGCCATGCTGGGTCCGCTGATTGACGTAGCGAGCGACGCGGCCGACGTTCGTATTGTCTGCGGCGACGAGCTGGTCAGTCAAACATCGTAGCGGCTGTAGAGAAGCCGATACGCACCGAGAGCGCCGTCGACCTCGTCGAGCACGAAGAAGGGCGAAGGCTGGAAGCTGTTCGGACGTGAAGCAGGGTCAGCGACACCGCTCCTCCGTCTGGACAAGCGAGAACAGCGCACGAGTGGATGGCAAAGAGGAGAGCGAGCGCAGCCATCGTCTTCTCGCCACCGGAAAGCTGGTCCATGTCGCGGAAGCGCTTCAGAGGAGGCATGGCGTGGTACTTGATGCCGTGGAGGTAGGGTTCCTGCGGGCGGGCGCCGTGCATCAGTGATAATAATCGGTCGGTAAGAACTCAGCTCGGACGCACCTCAGGCTCCTCGAGCGACAAGTACGCCACGCCGCCCTGCGGACTCGCCTTGCCCTTCGTCAAATCCTTGTACACCTGGTCGATACGGTCCTCGATGTGCTTGAACGCCTTGTTGAACAAGTCACAACGCTTCTTCTTGACGGCGTTGAAGGCGTCCTTGGCCTTGCGCGTCTCTTCGCGCGCTTGGTCGAACTCTTCGTCGATCTCGCGGAAGCGGGCTTCCGAGTCGCCGAGTCTGCGTACACTGTGGGTCAGCGAGCGTCACAGGCGAAGAAGCGAGAGCTGGACGGACCGCTCGATCGCCTTGAGGTTGACCGTCATCTTCTCGATCTCGCCTTGCAGGCGGTTGACGGTGGCGAGCAGCTTCTCCTCCTGAGCGTCCGAGCCATCCTGCATGCGGATATACATAAGTCACGATCAGTCGAAGAGAAGCGAGAGCTCGGCACGCACCTCCTGCTTGTCCTCATCCAGCTCATCGAAGTCGACCTCGACGCCATAGGTGTTCGCCTGGAAGACGTTCTGCGTACCCTCCTCCGGTCCGTCGATGTCCATCGGCGCGGCGGGAGCGGCGGCCTCCTCGATCGGGATGTCGTCGAGCTTGCCCTTCGAGAGGGGAAGGTCGATCTCTTCGAGCTTGCAGCGGCGGTAGATCGAGAAGCGCTCGGACGACAGGCGCTCGATCTCGTCGTTCTGCACAAGAGGGCACATCAGTCACCAGCTCAGGAAGCGAGGGGACAGATCGGACGCACGCAGGACGCAATCTCCTTGAGCGCCTTGTCGAGCACACGCGACGCCTTGCCGCCCTCCTTCCTCACCCGCTCGAGCTCGCTCGTCTTGTCCTTGAGCGTGTCGCGCAGCTGCTCGAGGACGGTCGACAAGTCCTGCACCTCCTGCTCGAGCGCCTCGATCTCGCCCTGCTTCGCCTCGCGGTCGACATCAAGCTGCTCAAGCGCCTTGCGCTGCTTGTCGGCGAGCTTCTGGAGCGACTCGAGCCGCTCGCGCGTCCCGTCCACCTGCTCGCTCTGGAACGCGATCTGGTGGTTCAGCCGCGCGACCTGCGTGTTGAAGACGAGCATCTGCGCGTTGTCCTCCTGCGCGCCGCGGAGCTGCTTCTCCTCGTACTCGCGGATGTTGGCGACCCGGATGCGGCGGCAGAAGTCGGCAAAGATGGCGTCCTCCTCGCGGTCGATGACGTCGCGGCAAGTCGCAGCCTGCGCTTCGAGCTGCTCGAGCTCGTCCTCGATCTGCGAGATCGTCTTCTGCGAGTCGGCGGCCTTCTTGCGGAGCGTCTTTAGCTCGTCCCGGACGCCCTTGAGGCGCGACTCGGTCGAGGAGAGGTCGTCGCGGACGACTTGCAAGTCAGCCTTCAAGCGTGTCTCGTCGTTGATGAGCTGTTCCTCGGCGTTGGCCTTCGGGCGGTTCTTGAAGACGTCGGCGAGCTTGCCGCGCAACTCGGCTTCGCGGCGGCGGAGACTCTCGACCTCTTGATCCTCGAAGTGGCGGCCGCCCTGCTGAGACGTGCCGCCGGTGATGGTGCCGGAGCGGTGGATGACGGTGCCCTCGAGCGTGACGGCTGGTGGATGAGCGAAGCGTTAGCAAAGCCGAGCGGGACTGGAGGAAGACTCGCACGCACCCTTGACCTCCTGCCCACGGTCGTAGCAGACATGCCTCGCAATCTGCATTGAGTCGCACACAAGCGCGTTGCCGCACGCGAACTGCATCGCCTTCTCGACGGACGAGTCGAAGGTGATCACGTCGATGGCGAGGCGGGCGCCCTTGGCGAACGAGCGGTACTTGTCGCTGATGGGTTTGACTTGGACCGTCTCGATGGGGACGAAGGTGGCTTGTCCGAGGCGCTGGACGCGCATGTACTGCGGGCGGGCGTGGAAGGCAGTCAGCGCGCTGAACGGGTCGGCACTTGCCTCATGGAGCAGGACGCACCTCGATGCAGCTGATGGCGGTCTTCTCGTTATGGACGACAATCGAGTCGATGTTCCTCCCGAGGACCGTCGTGACCGCAACCCCATACTTCTGCTGCGTCGGCTTGCAGAGGTCGATGATGCGGCCCTTGACGCCGGGGAAGGTGCGCTTGAGCGCCGCGAGCGTCTCCTTGAACTTGATCTCAGACTCCTTCTCGTGCTTCTCGGCGCCGGCGCGCTGGAGGTCTTGCAGCGTCTTCTCGAGCTTCTCATTGTATTCGGCTTCGGTTTGGCTGCGCTCCAAGAAGCTCGTCAGGTCCTTTGCTTGCTCTTCGGAAAACATGCGGTGGGAAGAGCGGACGCACGCAATTTGCTGCTTGCGCTTGCGCAACTCGTCCAAATCCGCCTTGACCTTCTTCAAGTCCGCCTGGACCTTTGCCTCGTTCCTCTCGGCATTCTCCTTGCGCTCCTGCAACTTGGCCTCCTCGCTCTTGAGGCGATCAATCTTGCGCTGCGAGGTGTCGAGCTGGTCTTGCGCGGACGAGAGCGCGTCACGCTTCGTCTTGTCGTCGTTGAGCAGGTTCGTGAGGGTTTCGCGCTCGTCGACGGCCTTGGTCGAGGCTTGACTCTTGCTGCGGGGCGCGCGACAATGTGTTAGACACGGTAAGGGAAGGGTGAACAGGAGAGCGCTCGCACGCACAGCTTGTTGTACTCGGCCAGATCCTCCGAACTCAACGAGATCCCCTTCTCCCTCGCCGCCTTCTCCTGAAGCTTCCGATGCTTCTCCGCCGCCTTGTTAGTCGTCTCCAAGTCGCGCTTGAGCTGGTCGAGCTTGGCGTCGTGCGTGTCGAGATCGGCTTGTTGCTTCGAGGCTTGGTCTTCGGCTTGCTTGAGCTTCTTCAGCGCGTGTTGGCGCTTCGTGTCGATGCCGTCGAGTTCGGGGCGCTGCGCGAGAGGCAGAGTGAGTGAGGATCCGGGAAGGGAAAGGAAAGACGGGAGCAGACTCACAGCCTCCTCGAGCTCCTTCTCCTTGGCCTTGAGCGCCTTCTCCTGCTTCGTCACCTCCTTCTGCGCCTTGTTGACCTCCTTCTTCTTCCCCCTCACCTCCTCCTCAAACTTCTCATTCTCCTCCCTCAGCGCCTTGAGCTCCTCATTCCTCTCATCAATCCGCTCCTCACTCGCCCTGATCCCCTCCTCGACATGAAACAACTTCCACACGAGATGATGAATCACCGCGTCGGCGCGTTGGGCCTGGAGAGACTGCCACCGCTCCGCTTCCGACTTCATCGTCTGGTACTGCTTGACTTCGCTGTTGACGCCCTTGCGACGAGAGTGCTGCGCGACGGACTGCTCGGTCGCTTTTTGGAGGGCCGAGGCGCACCGGTCGTAGTCGTCTTTGAGGTCGAGCGAGCCCGAGATTTGGTCGATCAGGCGGGCGAGGTCTTTCGGAGACTGCGATGCCACCGCTTCAACGTCGCCCTGCGCACGCGATGTATCAGCATTGCTCTTTCATCGGCCAGGAAGAGCAGGCCAAAACGAGCCCGACAACGACGCGCACCTGGAAGACGAGAAAGTTCTTGGCCTTGACGAGGATGTTGAACTTTTCGAGCTGCTCGTTGTACCGCTTGTACGAGACCGTCTTGCCGTTGATCTTGTACTCGGACGAGCCGGAGGTCGAGATTCTGCGCGTGTCGGGCGGTCAGCGAGAGAGGGAGGGAGACGAGATGGGAGGGACCCACGATCGTTGGAAGCGCCACTCTTTCTGTTCCTCGCGGTCGACGTAGACGGCCATGACCCACGCCGTGCGCTCTCCGTCGACGCCGTCCTCCTCCCCATCCGCCTCCTCCTCCTCCTCCTCCGCCGCCGACACATCTTGTTCGCTGCCCTCGCCCTCTTCCTCCTCGTCTTCGGCGCCCTCGACAGCCTTCCCCTTTCCCTTCTTGTCGGCCTTCCTCCTCCTCCCGCTGCGGTAGATCAAGTCCTTAAGCGCGGTGGAGCGCAAGCTGGCAGACCGGACGCCCAAGACGAACGAGATGGCGTCCATGAGGTTACTCTTTCCCGCTCCATTCGGTCCTATCACCGCTGTGAACGAGTGGAGCGGGCCTCTGCGAGTGAGGGGAGTGAGGGGACGCGATGTCAACTTGGGACTCGCCGCGAGACGGGGAGAGCGAGGAAAGGAGCGCACATTGTCTGTGTGCCCCTGTAGGACTTGAAGTTGTACAGCTCGAGCCTGTCGAGCATCGTTGGCGAGCGGTGTGGGTGTGCGGCTGAGTGCGAGAGGGCAACCCCCCGTCGCGGCGCGTTGGGTCGACGAGGTGGAGTTGCGAGTCGGAGCGGGTGAGGGCGTGAGTGGGTCTGTAACGGTGTCAAACGTGTAATGGGTAGTAGGCTCACTCTCACAGGCGAACGAGCCACCAAGTCGACCACCTGCTTCTGCTCGACGACTACTTCCCCTTGAGCATGTCGACTGTTACCGGCGAACTCGATTACAAAGAGAGCCATCACATTCGCACTGCAATCGACAGTAATCGACCCTGCGTGTATGACGGAGCGATCCCTTCCAGTGACGCTCCCTCTTCCTCGAAACTTTGCGCTCACACCGCACCAGATGGCCTCGCCAGACCCGCCACTCCCAGGCCCAGCCAACCTCGTCGACGACGCACTCCGACACCCAGACTCGGCGCCGCCCATCTCGCCCGACTCCGCGCCTCCTTCGACTGCGACTCGGCCCTCTGCTCTCTCGCGCGGAGAGCTCTCGACCGCTTCGAGCTACGCGAGCGAGGTGTCGACGAGGGAGGGGACACCGGATCTGGCGAATGGGTGAGTAGGCGCGAGAACAAGTCCCGAGGTCTTGATCAGTGGGGGAGGTGTGAGCGGCGAGGGAGCGAGATGCAGGGACTGACTGGCTGCGCGCGTGCAGGCAAGGGGTTACGACGACCATCACGACTGTCACAGGCAAAGGCGGAAAGGCCGTCACCCAGACGTGCGTTTCCAGACTCCTCCCTCTCCTCGATGCTTCCTTCTTGCACGAAGTCTGGGAGATTGACGCTGTTCTCTCCGTCGTCCGACTCCAACCTCGACCCTTCTCCTTCCCGCCCCTCCTCCGTGTCGCCTCCAATCCGCCTCGCACCACCCTCTCATCCACTCCCTCAGCCTCACCCACGTCGGCGCCGCCTCCGTCGACGCCCGCTTCTCCTCCACCACAAACTCCATCACTCTCCGCCCTATCCCCGCCCGTGGCGGCGACCCGAAAAAGATCAAAGTCCTCCGCTCTCGTCGGACCCACTTCGCCCCACGCACCTCACACTTCGACCGTCACAACCTCACCTCCGCCTCTGACCCGTTCCGCGGACTGTACACGTTGTTCTGGATCGTGATCTTCGTTGGGGCACTCAAGACTGTGTATCATCGGTTTGCGGAACAGGGTGGGTGGGGTGGAGAATGGAGGTTTGCGGCGTTGATTAGTCGCGATGGGTGGGTTCTGGCGGTTAGTGATGCGGTGTTGGTTAGCGCGTCGTTGTTGTGCGTGCCGTATGCAAAGGTGCGCTCGCGCTCGCGCTTCGGACGGTCAGCTCATACCTCCTGAAACTGACGGGACGATGCATCTGCTTGCGCTGCTGTGCAGCTCCTCGTACACGGCTGGATCCGGTACCACGGCGCAGGCGTCATCATCCAACACATCTGTCAAACGCTCTACCTCGCCATCGCGATCCGCTGGACCTTCCACCGGTCCGTCCCATCCCTCTCCCTCCCTCCTCTCTGCGCTAACGAGATGATGGGCACAGCAACTGGCCCTGGGTCCAAAGCGGTTTCATGACCCTCCACGCCCTCTCGATGCTCATGAAGATCCATAGCTACTGTTCTCTGAACGGCGAGCTTTCGGAGCGGCGGAGACAGTTGAAGAAGGACGAGAAGCGGTTGGAGGAGGTGCTGGAGGAGATGGGTGGACGGAGGAAGGCGGAGAGGGAGGCGAGGGAGGAGTGGGAGAGGCAGTGTGGGGAGGCGGCGAGGGCCAAGGAGGGTGAGGCGGGAGTGAGCGAGGGGGAGAAGGAGGCGGCGGCGACTCTATCTTCGACGGATGCGTCGAATTCGGCCCTTTCGTCGGAGGACGAGGCGGCTGCGGCGCTGTTGCGGCATCGACAGCCGACTGCTCGACGACGATCCATCTCGCCCTCTGCCTCACGCACCGGTTCCTCCTCCGCCCCCTCCGCTACCCTCGCCCCCTCTCGCGCCGAAGAACCCCAAGAAGGCGTTGAGACGCTCACCTGGCACCCATCCGACCAAGTCAGCAAACTCGCTATCGCCATCTGCGAGGCAAAGGACCTCCTCACGAGTAACGGCAAGAAGCCCGTCACGTTCCCCGAGAACGTCACCTTTGCGAACTTTATCGACTACTTGCTTGTGCCGACGTTGGTGTACGAGTTGGAGTACCCTCGGACGGATTCGTGAGTTTCTTCCACTCTCTATCGCGCAGGTTCAGGCAAGAGCAGAACTGACCTGCCGCAATGCCACAGCATCCGGCCCCTCTACATCCTCGAAAAGACCCTCGCAACCTTCGGCACCTTCTCCATTCTCGTCCTCATCGTCGACTCGTTCATCCTCCCCGTCACCTCGCGCACCGACACGCCCCTCTTCGGGTTCGTCCTCGACCTCGCCCTGCCGTTCACGCTCGCGTACCTCCTCATCTTCTACGTCATCTTTGAGGGCGTGTGCAATGGGTTTGCGGAGTTGACGAGGTTTGCGGATCGGAATTTGTGCGTGTTGGCGCTTCTTCCCGCGAAGTCAGTCGAGTTGAGCTAACTTTCGCTTGTCCTGCAGCTTCGACGATTGGTGGAACTCGTGCACGTTCGACGAGTTCTCGCGCAAGGTACGTCTCCGCTCTTCGCCCTGCTCATCCTAAATCTCGGCTGACTTTCCTGCCCGTCCTCGCGCAGTGGAATCGCCCCGTCCACGCCTTCCTCCTCCGCCACGTTTACGCCGAAACGATGGCTTCTTACAAGCTCTCGAAGCTCTCGGCTGCGTTCGTCACGTTCTTGTTCAGCGCCTGCGTGCACGAACTCGTCATGGCGGTCGTGACGAAGAAGCTTCGGCTGTACCTGTTCTCGATGCAGGTGCGTGGACGTCACGCGATTGAGCAGCTTTAGCTTGCCGGACGAACGCTCATCTGCGGTTCCGCTTCTTTTCGGCGCAGATGGCCCAGCTCCCGCTCATCATGGTGGGCCGCGCCAAGATCTTCCGACAGTATCCAGCGCTCGGCAACGTACGCTCACTTCCTCCTCTTTTCCCCCATGCGCCGGACTGACAACCCTCGGCGCACGCAGCTCTTCTTCTGGCTCGCCCTTCTCTCGGGATTCCCGCTTCTCGGGACGCTGTATCTGCGGTACTGAGCTCAGGGCACAGTGCGCGACTGTATTCACTAGGCAGTGCCTTGCAATCTGCATTTCCGCCGTCGCTCGTTGCAAGGGGTCGACTGTCAGCGCGAAGTCCGCGATGGCCTCACAGTGACGCGGCCTCTTGAGCCGGCTCTTGCGCGCAGCTGATGGTGCTGTAGAGTAGTCTCAGAGCTCATTGATGGCCTCTCCAGCGAGTGTGCGAGACGAAACCCTCGACCTCCTCCAGCTCCTCCTCTTCCTCTCCGCCCGACTCGTCATCGCTGCTCCGCTCTTGCGAAGATGGACGCGCCTAGCTTACAGACACATTCCCCGCAGACTCAGGACGGCCGCATCCCGCTCTCAGCCGACGCCAGCATCCTCCCACCCGCCTACCGCTCCGCCATCGCAAACGAGTGGGCGTATCGCTATCCGCAGTACTACAGCGAGTGGGAGGACATCTACTGGCTTTTTGATGGATGGGACGAGCTGGCCGACCGGCTTTACGTTGATTGGGCGGCCCATCTGAGCGAGGTTGAAGCGGTGCGGCGAGCGTACGCCAAGTTCGACGCGGGGGACGTGCGCTTTCCCAGCCTCGCAGCGAAGACAGCGCACTTGAAGCAGCTGGACCAGCGGGACGATCGAATGCACGAGCGGGCCGGAGAACTTTCTCGGCGGTTTGCAGGCCCTGCAGGTGCGTTCCCGCTTTTCGACGGCCTCTACGCCCGCCTGTTCGCTCAAAGCTTCTCTTCAGCAGGTCTCTGCCTTCTTCGACGACGTTATCTCGCTCGTAACCCGGAGCTAGACCGCACCGCACGCTTGACAGATCTCCCTTCGCTAAACGGTCCTTCGCTTCTTTCTTCCGCGCTGGACGCTGGCAAAACAGCTGCGTCGTCGCTGTACTCGTGGATCAGAGGCACGCGACCTGCCGCCTCCTGCCCTCCATCTGAGCCTGAACCCCCTTCCTCACCTCAGACGAGCTGAACTCGTCAGCCTCTCGTCGCCTCATGTACACCCCCCCTCCTCCTTATCTGCTGGCTGCTCACGCATAAGCCCATCAGCTCGCTCCAGCCTGCTCAATCGCCTGCTTTGGCCCTCCCCGTCGTAGCGTCTCTCCAGCGTCACGCTAGCCACTGCGAACGTTGAGACGGCACTCACGCATCCTCGGCAATACGGTCGCGGCACCTCGCCGGCGCTCAAGGACCGCGTTACACGCCCCTCAACCCTTCGCCTCATATTCTACTCGATCTCCCCCCTCCTCCTCGCCTCATTCCGCTCCCTCAACCCTTCCTCAACCATCTTTCTAACCTCGTCGTTCTCCTCCTCCTCGAATTCGGCGAGGGAGTCGTCGTCAACCGTCCGGGGGACGCCAAGGAACCGAATTGGTGGTAGGCCGTTTGGAGGACGTGCAGGAGGAGCGGGCGGGAGGGACGAGAGGACTGATTTGCTTAGTCGGGTTGTGGAGAATGGGAGGAGGGATGAGCCGGTGGAGGAGGATGTCGTGGCGGACGACGAGCCGGATCGAGGAGCGGGAGAGGCGGGGAAGCGAGTTGAGCGTGAGGGTTTCGAGGAGGAGGAAGAAGGAGGCTCGACTCGTCGTGGTCGCTCAAAGTCTTGTACCGGAGCGTCGAGTGAGGGTGGGAGAGGTACTGCAGTCGAAGACGGGTCGTGTTCGCGGATCGTGAGCGACGAGAGGAGGTCTTGTCGAAAGTCGTCCGTTTTCCCCCTCGGCTCCTCTTCCTTCGCTTTCCCCTTCCCGGGGCCCAACTTCGCCTCCTCCGCCTGCCTCTGCCTCACCAACTCCTCCGTAGAATTCACAACCTCCCTCCTCCTCTCCTCCACATCCTCCAGCATCTCCCCCTCCGCGCTCTTCCCCCTCCCCACCAAACCCGCATACCACTCGCTCCGAGCCCTACATTCCGCCGAACAATACGCACCCTTCCCTTCCTCCCTTCTAGGCGCCTCGAACAACCCGTTCGCGTGCAGACGGAACTTGAGTCGCTTCGAGTCCTGCTCGCGCTCCGCAGGGAGTCGGTAGGCCTCCCCTGCTGGTCGAGAGCAAGTAGGGTACGGACACCGACCCTCCATCCATCGTTCTTCCACCAAGTCCTCCCAACTCGCGCGATCCAACACCGCCGCCGCTTCTCTCAGTTCCTCCACCGCGACTCCAGCAGGGTTCGTGAGGCGCTCGATCCAGGAGAGTTTGAGAGCGAGGGAGGAGGGGCCGGCGGTTGAAAGTGCGCGCGAGAGGAAGGAGGATTGGAAGGTCGAGAGGTCGGAGGTGTCGGTTTGATGAGAGCGCGGGTGGGAGGAGGTGGCGACGCGGAAGGAGGAGGGGTTTGGAGGGCGAGGCGGGGGAAGGGAGGGCATCCCGAGCGGAGACTGGCCAGAGCGAGAGCAGGAAAACGGAGGTGAGGCGAAGGGGAGAAGGACAACCTTGGAGGGAGTGACTTTCGAGATGAGTGACTTCGACCTGGTGGGTGATTCGCTTCGTAGACTCTCTCAAGAACTCTCTGAAGCGCGAGTGAGGGCAGCTGAGCCAGCTGGAAGAGCAGGCGCTGGGAAGAACGATTGCTCGACGAGGGGAATCAACTGCAATTGCGGATGCAAAGGTGTACTGTACAGACTACGCAACCGACAAGTCAGCTCACAGACTGTAAGCATCAACGCAAGCGAGGCGCACCTGGTATAGACCTCCTTCCACACCCACCCGCGCCTACTCCGCCTTCCCACCCTTCCTCCTCACCTCGCCCACCTTCGCCGCTCCCGCTGTGCTTCCCGCCCCAACTTTGCCCAAAGCCCTCCTCTTCTCCTCCCTCTCGCGATCCTGCTCTACCTGGTCCTCCCTGAACGCGACATACACGAATCCGACCAGGATCAGGTTGGCGACTGTTACGGCTGCGATGGCTGGGTAGGTGAGGTTTTGGGCTGTGTGCAGCGTGAGGGGGGTCAGTGAGAGCTTGAAGGGGGAAGGAAGGTGGAGGAGGGGACGGACGGCCGAAGAGAAAGTCCCGCGTTAGGTAATAGGTGCCGATGGGGAGGAGGACCATGGCCAGCGTGAAGATGGCGAGCTTGGTCACGACGCTCCTGTGCAGCCCGAATCCCTAGCGCATCAGTCCCGTGCGCCGCGTAGCAGCTTGAGAACCCGAAAGAAGACAAGTCGAGACGCACGAAAGGTCGGCGTGTCCCTCCGGTACTGCCTCTGCCTGCTTCAGGTGTTCGGGGACTCGAGGAAGCGGGACTCCTCGTCGGAAGACCATTCTTCAGAAGGGTACGAGCGGTCGAGGGAGGAGGGAGAGCGGTTGCTGGTGGGGTAGCTGGAGGGGGTGCAGGAGGACGAAGGCGCGGTGTAGGCGTTCGGGGGTTTGACGATAGGATGCAGCGAGCTATTGGGAGCAGTCAAGCCAGTCAGAGCGGGTGTAGAGCGAGGTCGATTTCAGTCGAGGTGGTCGAGAGGTGTTCGACGAGGAGGAGAGAGAGAGGACGTCGCTCGCTCGCGGGTAAATCCAGCGAGAAGCCAGTAAATCGTGGCAGTACATAGAAGTGTACTCGGTATCATTCCCGCTGCACCCCGAGCTGTTGCCGTAGACCTCTCCCAGCTCCTTGCTTCGCCTCGTCGTCGATTCGCCGCGCTCACCTCGACGCTCGCTCGCTCTCTGGCTTGTCGCTGTGCTGCCACGTGACCATGTCGCTCACCGCCATCCGCTCACCCGCACTCCGCCAGCTCGCAGCCCGCTCCTTCCACTCGGGCAAGTCCACTCGCGACCCCTCCCGACCGCGGCCTCGCATCCATCGCACCGCATGCGACCGCGCCCCGTACAGCCAGCTGACAGGCTTCACCGTGCACAGGACGACCACTCGCCGCAGCACAGAGCAGCGCAGCAAAGCGTGCGTGTTCTCACTCGCTCCAAGTGACCGCCAACTGACCCTCCTCCTTCGAACCCTCGGACATCGCCTCCCTCGCCCGCCGTGCTGCTCCATACCACCGCAACTGCTCACTACAGCCTGTGAGTCCCGCCTCTCCTCCAGCCGAACCTCGCCCGCCTCTGAGCTGACCCTTTCACCTCCGCTGCCAGATGTCGAGGGCACCGTCAATGACCCTACGCCGTTCCCGACGCCCAACAAGGCCCACGGCCAGTACCACTGGACCTTTGAGCGCCTCTTGAGCGCCTCCCTCGTCCCCCTCATCGGCGCCACCGCCGTCTCGTCCGCCAACCCCGTCCTCGACGGTGTCCTCTGCACGGCCATCGTCGCCCACTCGCACATGGTGCGCTGGCGCTTCCTTCGCACTGTCTTTCTCCCTCCCCTCTGAGCAGTGAAGCTGACTGCGCGATGAATACGTCGGCTACAGGGCTTCGACCAGATCCTGACCGACTACCTGCACCCGCGCAAGTTCCCCGTCCTCGGACCGATCATGTCCTGGCTCCTCCGCTTCGCGACCGTCGGAGCACTCGTCGGCGTCTACCAGTTCGAGACGAACGACATCGGTGAGTTGCCGCGGACGAGTTTGAATGGGCTGGCGGCGGTCTCGCTTTGAGGCGCCGCTTTGCGCCCGACCAGAGCCGCTGGAAAATCTCTCACTGACTGCTCTGCTCGTTGTTGTGCAGGCATCACCGAGTTGATCAAGAGGGCATGGAAGGCGGAGAAGGAGCAGGAGTAACTCCTCAGCCCCCCTTTGCGACCCAGTCTTTTCCACCCAGTTCTGTCTAGTTGTGCCCTCGAATGCCATCCTGCTGTACACCAACCCGCGCATCGTCCATTCCAGCGAGCGAGAGTGCAAGTTTCCTCGAGACGCCTCCTCACCTTGCTCCTCCTCCTCCCAAACCCTCGCTCTCGGCGCATATAGCTCTTGTCCAGCCTGCGCCGTCCCCACCTACTCCTCTAGCTCTCCTCACAGCACAGAGCTACCCGCCCCACCTCCGCCGCGTCTCGCTGAGCTACCTCGAAACCCGCATCACCCGCTCGTCCACCCACCCTCTCGAAACTCGCCCACACCCGCACAGGCGACGAGACGATAGCGCACTAGCCTTTCTTCTGCACTCTCTCCGCGCCACACGTACTCGACGACCCGCGCGCGCGCCTCGAATACGAGACTTTCCACCCTCCCCCTCCTCTTCTCACCCTCGACCTCCCATCAATCATGTCGGCACCTCAAGCGTCCTCCTCCTCCGCGCCTCAGCAACAACCCGAAGACTGGAAGAAGCAGCTCAACCTCCCTACGAAGGACACCAGGCCGCAGACTGAGGTTCGTTCCGCCCTCTTCCCTCTTCTCAGTGGATGCTGATGAGTGGTCGAGCAGGATGTTACGGCGACCAAGGGAAACGAGTTTGAGGATTACTTCTTGAAGAGGGAGTTGTTGATGGGAATCTTTGAGGCTGGGGTGAGTTGCGACCGCTTCCGTTGGAGGGGAGCAGGGTACTGACGGGACGACGCCGGGCAGTTCGAGCGCCCGTCGCCCATCCAAGAAGAAGCGATCCCCATCGCCCTCACAGGCCGTGACATCCTCGCTCGCGCGAAAAACGGCACGGGCAAAACCGCAGCGTTCATCATCCCCGTCCTCGAGCGCGTCAACCCCAAGATCCCCAAGATTCAGGCTCTCTTGCTGGTTCCCACGCGCGAGTTGGCCCTCCAGACGAGTCAGGTCTGCAAGACCCTAGGCAAGCACACGGGCGCGCAGGTGATGGTCACGACGGGCGGGACGACCTTGCGCGACGATATCCTTCGGCTGGGGGAGACGGTGCACATCCTCGTCGGCACACCCGGACGTATCCTCGACCTCGCCGGAAAGGGCATCGCCGATTTGAGCCAGTGCCCCATGTTTGTCATGGACGAGGCAGACAAGCTCCTCTCGCCCGAGTTTACGCCCGTCATCGAGCAGCTCCTCAGTTTCATGCCAAAGGAGAGGCAGGTCATGCTCTTCTCGGCTACGTTCCCGCTCATCGTCAAGGACTTCAAGGTGCGTCCCGCCGCCTCTCGCGCCCACTTCCTCGGAGTCTGTACTGACGCGCGTGCATGTGCAGGACAAGTGGATGCGCAAGCCGTACGAGATCAACCTCATGGACGAGCTCACGCTCCGCGGTGTTACCCAGTACTACGCCTTCCTCGAAGAGCGCCAGAAGGTCCACTGCCTCAACACCCTCTTCTCCAAGGTGCGTCCAGCCGCTTCCTCCAGCATTCGAGCCGCCTTGCGTCGAGGCGAAGACGGAGTAGGATAAGCCACGACGAGCGCGCGAGCTGACACACCCCTCTCGACGCGCAGCTCCAAATCAACCAGTCAATCATCTTCTGCAACTCGACGAACCGCGTCGAGCTCCTCGCCAAGAAGATCACCGAGCTCGGCTACTCCTGCTTCTACTCGCACGCCCGCATGCTCCAGCAGCACCGCAACCGCGTCTTCCACGACTTCCGCAACGGCGTCTGCAGGAATCTCGTCTGCTCCGGTGCGTCCGCTTGTCGTCGTGTCGTGGCGGTCGATGGGATGCTGACGAGAGAGAATGTGCGTCGGCAGACCTCCTCACGCGCGGTATCGACATCCAGGCCGTCAACGTCGTCATCAACTTTGACTTCCCCAAGAACGCCGAGACGTACCTTCACAGGATCGGTCGTTCCGGTCGCTACGGCCACCTCGGTCTCGCCATCAACCTCATCACGTACGACGACCGCTTCAACCTGTACCGCATCGAGCAGGAACTCGGAACCGAGATCCAGCCTATCCCGCCCGTCATCGACCGGAGCCTGTATGTCGCGCCGGGGACGGAGGAGGAGGTCAAGGGCGCGCAGGAGGCGGCCAAGGCGGGTCAGAAGGTCGCGGTGCCGGCGGGCGTCGGTGGACACGGAATGCAGGCGCCTCAGGTCCGGGGAAAGGACCGCAGCCTCCCGCCGCTGCCCCTCAGCAGCAGCAGCAGCAGCAACCCGCGCCACAGCAGCAGTACCAGCAGCCGCCTCACCAGATGCCTCAGCAGCAGCAGCAGCCTCAGCAGCAGTACTACGGCCAGAATGCGCCTCGGCCAGGCCAGAACGGCGCGCCTCTCCCTCCCCACCTCCAGCAGCAGTACGGCCAGCAGCAGCAGTACGGCCAGCCTCAGCAGTACAACCAGCAGCAGCAGCAGGCATTCATGCAGCAGCAGGCTCAGGCGATGGCGTCGCGCCAGCAGCGATGAGCGTTCGGCGACGACCCGTGAACGACGATGAACGCCCGCGAACGACTAAGCCCCCGACTGTACAGCCCTCCCCGCCCCATCGATACCCTCACCCGCCCGCTAGTCTCGATATCACGCTCGTTCGCCGTCCTTCGTCCTCCTCACCGACCATCTCCGCCCTTCTTCACCTTTCCCTTGCTCTCCGTCCCATCTCCGCGCAGCTAGCGCACCTCGCTCCGCCTCCTCCTTACACCTCTCTCACTCTAGTCTCGGCTCGTTGCTTGTTGTCGTATCGCCGTAAGACCCCCCTCGCACACACCATCTCCTTCCCGACTTCCCTCCATCGCATCTCCCCTCACCTCCCGCTCCCTATCTCTCTTACTCCGCATCCCTCCTGCCCTTCTCCGTCGCGTTCTTGCAGGTTTTGCGGCTGTGGCCCTCTTTGCCTTTCTCCTTCGCCAGGAGGAGCAGGCGGGTCGTGGTCGATTTTTCCCTGCAAGAAGGCGATGTTTACCGCATGTTTTGGCTTCGGTGGCGCCTTGAGACTAGAGAGCACAACGTCGCAGATGTCGAACCTCAAGCGGCGGAGCCAACGAGCTGGCAGGATCGACCTCAACCCCCTCGCGGACTTGCACGCAAGTGACGGACTTTGCACGGCGACTGTTCTATATGGCTCACAGCCTTTTCACGATGAATCGTGCTCGCGCCTACTCGACCTTCTTCCCCGCCTCCTTCTCCTCCCTCGCGATCCTCCTCCTGCGCACCTCTCCGAGCGCCCGCCTTCCGATCCACGCGTTCCAGGCGCCGAGTCCGAGGAAGATTGGGAGAGTCGGGATGAGGCGCAGTCGGACCCAGTAGACGATGAAGAGGAGCTCGAGGGCTGTGAGGGAGGCGAGGAAGGTGAGGATGAGGGGCGACGAGGACAGGTGGAGCGAGGGGAGGATGTAGCGGAACTGTGTGAGAGACACGATGTCAGCTTCGTATGCAGCGAAAAGGGGAGAGCGTGGGAGCCTACGGCTACGAGGAGAACAAGCCACGGCGCGAGGACGACCGCAGTCCCTCCGAGCGCGAGAACCTTGTTGACCTTCTTCTCGCCCTCGCGGAACGTCCACTGAATCTCGGGCATGGGCTTGTACCGCTCGACCTCCCAGTGCTTCGGGAGGTCCTCGTCGGGAGGGAAAGGGAAGGGAAGGACGAGCGAGGAGGGGAGGGTAAAGGTGCCGAGCGGGAGGGAGAGCGGGGCGACGTAGGGGTGGCCGAGGATGAGGGTGAATGAGAGAGGACCGGAAGAGAGGGACAGAAGAGACGGGTCCGCGCGAGAGAGGTCCTGCGACGAGAGGGTCAGAATGGCGCTCGACTCCAACTCTCGCTTCGGCGCGCTATCGGCGAACCCAGAGAAGTCTGCGCTCTCAAAGACGACCCCCGCAGGCCAACTCACCAAGTCCCATCGCGCCTTGCCCGAGTTCTGCCTGACCTTGACCCAGCTCGTCCAATCCCGCCCCGGCTGCTTGCGCTCCTCCTCGTTCACCGGCTGGACGAGAACAGCAGCTTGCTGCGGTGCGAATGGCGCAGAGTCGTTCAGGACGGTGAAGGACAGCTTGAGGGCGTCTGTGGGGCTGAGCTGGCGGGCGGGGAGCGGTGATGGCGAGTCGGACGTGAAGCTGCGCAAGGAGCACGGCAGGGTCAGCATATGGTCGTCTTTACGTACTGGAGGGCTCAACTGGACGCACGCTGTTGTTGCGACGGCGGATGCGCCGACTGCGTCGATGAGCGAGAGCTTGCCGTCCCGGACGACAATGGCCGCACGGGCGAGCGAGGAAGCTGCCGCAGCGAGCAATGCTGCAGATGCTAGCCAGCGAGCCATTCTCGAGCGGTGCGAAGCGGAGTCGCGGGTGAGGAGCGGAAGGTCAACCTTGCGCAGCGACGAGCAAGACGACACCTCTCGCAGATGAGGCTGAAGCTACGGACATGCAGGGGATGACAGGCTTCGATTACATGCTGGCGGAAGGAGCAGAAGGACAGAGACGACAAGGGGCAAGGAGGAGGCGAACCTCCAAAGACCGATTCGAGGCGCGGCGTGCGGGTTGCCCCTTGAACGGAGTATGTCTGGATAAGGCTACCGAAGACCCGATTCAGTTGGCGTTGAGGCAAATGGAGTGCGACCGGACGAAATGTCAGCGCATGCCTGACAGCGAACTGAGGAAGCGACACTCACCCTTAGATGGGCCTCATCCGCGCCAGTCGGCGCGAAGTGCTCAGGCTGAGCATCGTCACAGGCAGGAGAACAAAGTACATGCGCCAAAAGACGCCATCTGGTGAGGGAGTGGAGGGGGAGAAGCGCAAGGGGCTTCGACGGCAGGGAGGCAGGAGAGATAGAGGTGCGACTGCCGCGAGTGAGGCAGAATCATCGAGACTCATCCTGCAGAGGAGCACAGAAGGCGCAGTGCGACGATCTAACCGACTCAGCTCCATCCTGCGGACAACTTGTCCAGAAATGAGCAGTGTCGAATTAGCCGGTGCAGCAAGACCTGCAGGCTGTACTGATGCGCCATACGGCGATCCTTCAGGTCTTGATGCGCATAGTTGGCGATTGGCTCAGCTTCGGCTCAGCTCTCAGCATCACGCTCCAACGGCCGGCGGAACACCGCTTCGTAGGCGGATACTGGGACGGAACGATGATCAGGAGCAGTTATAGGTCGTAGGACTGGCCATGCGCACCAAGAGCTTGAGATGCTAAGGAGGTGACTGAACGGAAAGCAGCCGAAAGTAGCGATTTGTCGCTCAAAGAGGGCAAGCCACTGAGGTAGCTCCCGCGGTCGAGGTCTGGATAGAGCTTGAGGAACCGTCGCCTGAGGAGGCATAGTCCAGCGCGTGACGAATGGTGAGGAAACCTTCGGAAAGGATTGTCGAGAAGCTCACCGCCCGGACCCTCCAGCCGCTCCTTGAGCTTGCCTCCCGAATCATACAGACGCTTGTTCTCCCTGTACAACCACGTCTCGTGCGCGGCCTGCCTCGCAGCCTCGGCGAACGTCTTCCTCCCCTTCCACATCTCCTCGATCTCGGCTCGAACGCGTTTCGCCTCCGCCATGTAGAGCAGCCAGTCGGCGTACAGCTCGTCCGCCAACGCATCCCAGCCATTGAAGATCCAGTAAAGCTCCTCGAACTCGGCGTAGTAGGTGGGATAGTCGACCGCCCATTCCCGACTGATAATGGGGCGGTAGCGAGGCGGGATTACGTTGGTGTCAGCTGGGAGCGAAATTCGGTCCTCCGGCGCAGCGCGTTCGGCCTGCGGTTCGGCTGCGTCAGCAAGAAGGGGCACCGCCGTGTTGGCCAGCTCGTCAGAAGGGACTGCTGAGGTTGGGCTGCGGTCAATAAAGTCCGAGCATCTAGCGCTCCGAGAACAACTACTCACTTGCGATCTTCGAAGCCAGAGTCTTCGCGGCCGCAACGGCAGATGCAAGTAGCGACTTGCCGCTCAACGAGGGCAAGCCGCTCAGGCGACTCCCGCGATCGAGTTCTTGATGAAGCTTGAGGAATCGCCGTCTCAGAAGGCCGAGACCTGCGACGGGACGACCTGTCAGGACCGTATGTAGACTGACGATCGACGACTTACCGCCTGGCCCCTGCAACCGTTCCTCCAGTCGGCCACCCTCCTCGTACAGCCTATCGCTCTCCTCGTACAGCCACTTCTTGTATCTTGTCCGCTCCGCCGAGCTGGCGAAAGTCGTCTTGCCCTTCCACAACTCGTCAATCTTGGCCCGCACTCGCGTCGCCGCGGTGATGTAGTAAAGCCAGTCGGCGTGCAGCTCGTCCGCCAGCGCGTCCCAACCGTCAAACGTCCAGTGAAGCTCCTCAAATTCGGCGTAGTAGGTTGGAAAGCGAGAGGCCCACTCCCGAATGATGATGGGGCGGTAGCGAGGCGGGACCACGTTGGTGTCGGCTGGGAGCGGGATGCGGTCGTTCATAGCGTGTGCAGCAACAGTCTGAGAGCTACTGGAATCCATCTTGAGCGAGAGCGTGAGGTGTCGAGCGGGAAGAGATGACGGCGAGGGTTGGAGGAGCAACGCCTCGTCGACTTGCACGAGGGACCGCTTTGACTTGCCCAGTGCTACCATGGCGTCCACAGAACCCGCATCAGCTGCTAAAAGCGACTCGAACGAGCCCGCTACGCCGCCTGCGAGCGAGTACACCATCCTCGCCGCGAGTGAGTGGCCACTCCAGCCTTTGACAGCGACGGAAGGACGTTTGCTGACTATGCGAGCACTTGTCATGTGCCACAGATGTCACCCACAACCTCTCGCTACTCCACCAGGCCGTCTCGCTGCTCGAACCTCGCTTCACCACCCGCGCGTTGAGGTCACTGCCAGAGGTCCGCAAGAAGTTTGGGAAGGACGGCGAGGTGCTTGCAGAGGTCATCAGGAGCGGACATGTCTTCAAAGATGGTGCGCACCCGCTCTCGTGGCCTTCGACCCCCTCTCAAAGACTAGGCTGACGCAAGCCTTCCTCTCTACCGGCTACTGCGCCTTGCTGTGCGCGTGCTCACCGCCTGCAGGTTCAGATCGTAAAGCGCAACTCATCCAAGCGCTCGGTGACCCTCCCGCGCCTCCTAAGGATGCGCCTGCCTCGTCGACTTCGAAAGGAGACGCCTCGATGGACGTGGACTCGGCGGAGAAGCAGGGAGAAACGGACAAGAAGGACGGAAAGGAGGGTTCGGCGCTGAAGGAGGTCGCGAAGAAGGTCAAGAAGGCTGGACAGCACGAGGAGTTGAAGGAAGTTGCGAGCGAGTTGCCAGAGGGCGACGCGTTCGTCTGCCTGCTCGTGGTGATCAGCCTGCTCGACCAGAAGAAGTACGAGGAGGTGCGTTACCAGCTCGATCTTCGACCCGTTGCGTCGCTGACCGGCAGCCAATTGCTCGGTCACGCTCCGCAGGGCAAGGCTCTCGCAACCAATTGCCTCGAGTTCTTCGGCCAGCTCAACCGCCGAACGCTCGACCAGCTCCTGTCCAAATTCTTCTTTTACTGGGTCCGTCTGCATGAAGTCTCGGGCGACGACACCGGAGCTCTTCGACCGTAAGCATATTCGCCTCTGCCCGCTTTTCCTCCAGGAGTACTGATGGATTTTACTCACTGTAGCACTCTTCTCGCCGCTCACCGCACCGCCTCTCTCCGCCATGACGTCGACCTCCAAGCAACGCTCCTCCCTCTTCTCCTCCGCAACTACCTGGAGCACGGTCTCTACGAGCAGGCGGACAAGCTCGTCAGCAAGACGCAATTCCCCGAAGGCAGCGCGCAGAACAGTCAGCTCGCAAGGTGGTACTACTACCTGGGTGCGTGCGGGTCGAGGCTTCACCAGCTGATCAACAGCAAGGCTGACTTCGCCCTTGTGCAGGCCGCATCCGCGCGATCCAGCTCAACTACACCACCGCGCACACCTCGCTCGAACAAGCGATCCGTCGCGCGCCGTCCGATCTTCGCGCCGCGCCCGGCTTCTTCCAGCACGCCTACAAGCTTCATGTCCTCGTCACGCTCCTGATGGGCGACATCCCCGAAAGGAAGATCTTCCGCGAGGTCGTGCTGAAGAACGCTCTGCGGCCGTACCTCGAGATTACGCAGGGTGAGCCTTCGCGATGCCTGCTGGACTGAAACAAAAATTGACGACTCTCGCTTGCAGCGGTCCGAGTGGGCGACATTCAGGCTTTCAACACCGCCTTGTCGCAGCACACCGCCGTCTTCACCGCCGACCGCACCCTCTCGCTCGTCCACCGCCTCCGCCACAACGTCATCAAGACCGCCCTCCGCACCATCTCGCTCGCCTACTCCCGCATCTCTCTTCGCGACATCTCGACCAAGCTTGCGCTCGACTCGGAGGAGGATGCCGAGTACATCGTTGCCAAGGCGATTCGCGACGGCGTCGTCGTTGCCAAGGTCGATCACGAGAAGGGCGAGATGACGAGTCGGGAGACGGGAGACATCTACTCGACGGGCGAGCCGATGCGCGAGTTCGACAGGAGGATCGGCTTCCTGCTCGACCTGTACAACCAGAGTGTCAAGGTGCGCTTCGTCTTTTCCCCTCCTTGACGAGCTCTGGCTGACATGCCCTCCTCCCAGTCCATGCGGTACCCAATGAATGCGCACTCGAAGGAGTTGGCATCGGCGAAGGAGGCGCGCGAGCGTGAGCGCGAGTTGGTGCGTCGGCTCCCTCGGAGCTTTACGCTTTACCTACCTGACTTCCTCGCTCGCAGGCCAAGGAGATCGAGGAGGGCGACTCGGACGCCGACCTCGACGGACCCGGCGACATGGACTCCTTCTGAGCGCGTCGCAACCGTAGACTCGCGCAATGAACGACTAACCGTCTCGAGATGCAAGTGCGAAGAGAGAAACACAGCTACAACACCGGTAAGTAACCCTCAAGAGATGATATCGAGTCTATCCTTTCATACCGCCGTCCGCGATCTTGTTCATCTGCTCGACATCCCGCATACCCTCCTCGAGCGCGATATCGTCGTCCTCCTGATTGTGGTCGCTCTCGTCCTGCCGCAACTCCCGCGCGTCGTGCTTCGGCCCATGTGTCGTCCGTTCCTTCTGATCCATCCTGGCCACGTGAGCTCCCTCCGCGGCGTCCTCCTCTGCGACGTTGGTGCCGGGTCGCAGGCTGGCGCGCGAACCGGAGGGGCGCCCCTGCTCGCCTCGTTGTTCGCCTTCCTCCCGCAAGTCATCGTCGTCAGACGGCGAGGGACTGCTGCTCTCGTCATCAGGACCGAGAGTGCCTCGTCTCTTGCGCTTGCGCGCGGCCATACGACGCTGATGTGTGCGCTTCTTCTCGAAGTCGTTTCTGCGCCCCTCGTCCTCGACCTCGCGCGTTTCTCGCTCGGCGTCGTCGATGCGGCGGCCGAGAGGGAGTATAGGTGGCGACGTGAGCACATCGATGACAGGCTGGAAGTTCTTGGCGACGCTGGCGTGAAGCGTGTGGAAGAACTTGAAGAAGCGCTGGCGATGCGTGAGGTGCTCGTCCTCGTCTGATGTGCCGTTGTCGACAAGGCCGCCGCTCGCTTCCGGCGACGACGCCGTGACGTACGGGAGCCCGACCTCCCTCGTAACGCGGAAACCGTCACGGTTGCCGATGTGCTCGGCTTCGACACGAAAGGTGTTCCACATGATCCGGCGGCCGGCTTCGGTGAGGGCGATGATGTATGACTGGACGGGAGGCGAGGGGCGCGGCGAGAGGTAGATGACCCAGGTGAAGCGGAGGAGGACGTTGGCGATGCAGACGAGGAAGTAGACCCAGGGCGTGTCCTTGAAGAAGGCGAGCTCGTTGCGCAGAAGGTAGTGCTCGCGCTTCTTCGTGTTGCGGTGACCGAGTGACCAGTCCATCAGGAGGTCCCACTGCGGTTCTCTCGTCGGTCAGTGGCATGTGAGCGAGCTAGGAAGCGAAGGAAGACGCACCGACGAGGTATAGATCGAGTTGGCCGAGGCGAAGAGGATGAAGAGGGCGAAGCGCCAGGGAACGTCTTTGCCTTCCTTCGTGATAATTCGCCAGGAGAAGTAGAAGAAGAAGTACAGGATCGTCATCGAGTACTTGCCGGCGTTGAGCAGGTGCAGGTACATGCCGTCCGAGTCGACGTAACGGCGGATGCTCTGTCCGAGACGCCAGAGCGGCGGCAGACTTGCGAGAACGGCCGACGTCCACGTCTTGTTGGTCGAGCACGTCTCCTGGACGTTCGGCGCCCAGCCGTGATTGTACGTGCAGTAGAGGAAGCCGAGGTTGTAGACCGAGTAGTAGATGCTGTTGAACTCGTCGCCGAGGAAGAAGTCACGGAACTCGACTGCGACGAGGCCGGAGGTGATCATGCGGCAGAAGGATCGGAGGAGCCACCAACGGGCGGCGGGGTGGAGGATGGGGAAGGGGTTGAGCATGATGAGGAGCATGAGAACGATCCAGGCGAGAGGGTAGGCGGACGGTGCGATCTGATCCGGCCAGAAGTTGTTCCAGGCCGCCCAAAAGAAGAGGGAGAGGGTGAAATAGAGGACGGCGGGGAGCTGCGCGGACGGTACGTTAGCAAGCGCTCGAGGGACTTGAAGGTCGATGTGCGCACCTCGAGGTACTGGTGGTAGTCCAGCTTCGTCCGGACGTCGAGCTCGAAGATGAGGACGTAGCTGCGCCAATAGTCGAAGGTCAGCTCAGCATACAGCGCAACAGAGGCGTACGCACTTGATACGAGCGTAGCTCCAGGTTGCGAGGTTGAGGAAGAAGGCTAGAGAGAAGAAGACCGGGAGGTAACATGCGCCGAAGAGCTGCAGAAGGGCGGGCCAGTACGGGATCTCGCGGCGAGTCGACGCCTTGTAGGCTGTAGGTCCATTGTCAGCCTGCGATATAGCTGGCGAAGACTAGAAAAGGATGGGACGCACTGAGGACGAGTCCTTCGATCATGAGGGGCAGACCAGCACCCATATACATGCCAGCGCGCCAAGTCGAGAAATGATGGCGTTTCTTCTCGCCGAAGTCGCGCAGCCGCTCGAGCGCCTTCTTCCGGTCACCGCGCTCGAAGACGTTGGCGAACGCGTTCTCCGTCTCGCGGATCAAGTCGTCCAGCTTGGTCGAAGCAACGAAATTGGCCTTCTCGACCTTCTCCGAGTACTTGACCGCACACGGAATCCGCGTCGCCTTCTCGTACTTCTTCAGCGCCTTGGCGAAACCGGTTCGATTGAGGACGCGATACGACTTGAGCATGCCGAGATAACGATAGTATTCGAAGGCTGCGAGGAGAACAAGGTCAGCGGATAAGGTCGAGCGGACAGCCGAGAATGAAAGCAGTACTCACTCGCAAGCTTAAGCTTGCTCCGAGCATTGGTGTAATCTTCGGGTCGGACCTGCTTGAAGACCTGCTCGCGAGCCGTCCCTTCGTCGTCCGCGTCGCCAGCATGTTCGTCCCGGCCGCGCTCAGGCGAGTCCTCCGACTCGCCCGACAGCCTTCGCTCAGGGTGCTCGCCGTTGCCCATATGTGCGGCATCGGCGAGTTGGCGGCGACGGTGTGCGAGAGTTCGGCGGACAAGGTGGGAGCCGGGGACATTGGGGAGATGTGCGCGTTTCGGTAAGATGGACGAGACAAAATGAGGCGGATGCAGCTCGCGTTCGCGGAACGCCTGGAACTCCTTCTTGTGAACTGGGCAGGGGAGAACGTCAATCAAGCATGGAAGAGAGCGACTGCGCGACTTACTCGCAAGCTCCTTCCACTGCGCATCAAGCTGCTCGAACCGCTTCGTCGCCTCCGTCTCGCGGTCGGCGTAGAAAGACGTGACGCGCTCCAGTTCGCGGTCGAGGAGGGTAAAGAAGCGCCGACACTGCGGCGCGATCCGCTCGTAGACCTCGGACAGCTCCATGTTCGACCTGAGCCCCTCTCGCCACCGTCCATCCTGACCGCGGGATCCCTGGGCGGGCTTTGACGTGGAGAAGCGTCGGCTCAAGCGCTGCGTGAGAGGCTGCTCAGACGTCTGCTGCTTCAAGCTGATGCCGGACTTGCTCGACTCTTTGCGGGTGACGAGCGGTCGGTCGGTGTTCTGGGTCGTGTCGGAGACGTGTTCGTGCGAGGATGAGGAAAGACCAGGCGAATGAGGAGGGGTTGAGGCGGTAGGTTGCGGCTGGCGAGACTTGCCGGCTCGTGACGTGGACGTACGGGAGGGCTTGGCATGCGACGATGGCGACGTTGTTTCGTCATCCTCGTCGTTCCCACTCGACCCGCGCTCGAGATCGCGCCCGGTCGCTGCCTCACCTCCGTCCTGCTCGATGGCTTCGGGAGCTGCCGACGAGCTTGTCAGGCGCTGCATACGGCGAGCGCTTCCCGCTTGCCGCTCGTCATCCTGCGCCGTCTCCCTCACGTCTTGCCCAGCCTCTCCCGTCCCGCCTGTACCGCCCGAGTCGATATCAAACAGTTCCTCCTCCGCCCTCCCAATCTGCTTCTTCAACTTCCTGTAGTCGATATAGGCCCTCTTCCACTCGTCAATTTGATGGGCGGCGAGGTAGCGGCCGAACTTCATCCTTCAGAGGACCGGCTGGAGCGGCGAGGGTGAAGCGAATGCAAGGATGCGAAGGAAGGGGCGAAGCGTCGTTGGCCGCTTGTCTGCAATTGTGATGATCAGCGGCGCTCTGTGGACCTCCAAAGGGGGCTGTCTGATCACGTCTGAGCCCTGGGAGACGGGCGAGCTGGTGACGGACGTCAAAAGAGATGAGGAGCAACTCACGGATTGCGAGATGACTGTAGCGTAGGCAGGCGCGTTCAGTAAAAGGAAATCAGACTAGAATGACGGCATGGCGGAGCAAAGCACGATGAGCGAGCGTGAGGACGAGGGGAGACGCAACTCCTTCCCCTCGACGACGAACCCTTGAAGAGCATTTCACATCTCGCTACTTGACACTGCTTGAGCGATGGAGACCAACACGGAGCTACGCTGAAGACCGAGTTGCTCCTTGCAATAAAGAATCGAGGGAATCGAGCGAGGGGAGGTAGGGAACGAGTGCTAAAAGAGACAGATCCGGGTATCGTTGGTGGTCAGGGCTAGCCTGTCGAATGCTGATATACCTAGAGAGAGGGAGAAAACGAAGGATGAGAGGGTATGGGCTATCGAGATGTGCGGTGATACGAGGGAGACGTAGTGAGGCGCGAAGAGACGTCGGATCGAGCTGGGCCAGAGAGGGCAGGCGGTTCGGCGTGAAGTGCGAACAGCGCCGAAAGGTGCGAGGCAATCCGCGTCATCGTCCGGCTGCGCGTTGGTAAGGGTGGGAAGACGAGGTGTGCGGCATCGGGTGGGAGGGGAAGGGTGGCTGGCCCGACTCTGAGTACGCCTGCCGGTGCAAGGACGACGACGAGCCGGTCGCTTCGGTGCCACGGCGGTAAGGTGCCTCGAAGCGGTCCTCGGGCGGTGGTGCAGGTGGCCAAGGGGGGGAACCGGTCGACCATGGCTGCGGAGCGCCATTCGCATTGGGTCCGCCGCCGCCGCCGCTCGAAGGCTGATTCGAATACGAGGTAGGCCGTTCGGGCGATCGGAAAGGCGAAGGCGAGGCGTAGGTCGAGATCGGACGGCTGCCGCCTCCTCCACCAGGAACCGCTGGCGCCGACCAAGCCTCTACATACGTTGACTTGTCAGCCTATCAGCGGGAAAGAGAGACGCAAAGAGGCGAGACTGACCCTGCAAGCCTGGTCGCCGCGGCGGACTTGCTTCTCCCCTCGAGACCTTCCAGTGCGTGGCCCGGCCGTTCAGGCGGATGTGGTTCTCGGCGCGAGCGAGGATCTCCTTCGACGTAAGTTGCGACGGGTTCGAGAAGAGCTCTTGGTCGTTCAGGATGGACAGGCACTCGGCGGGAACCTGCGAAGCGAGGGTCAGCCCCAGCGCAAAGGAATGAGGGGCATCGTCCTGGCGCACCTCCCAGAACTCGTCCTGCATTTCGAGCAGCTCATGCACCACTCTTGCGGCCGAGAAGCTCTCGTCGCGAGCCGGATCCTTGCCCTTGGCGTAGAGGATGTTCGGGCTGATGACGGTCGCGAGGTTCTGGAGGTCCATCTTCGAGCCGGTCTCTTCGTCGACGTGCGAGAACGAGGCGACCCATTTGAGGAAGACGAATACGACCTCCATCGTGTCGCGGTGAGCCTTCGGCATCATACAACAGCAGTAGTGCAGCGCTTTCTTGCGTGCCTCCGGGTCATCGACGCCTGTCCGAGCGAGAGGGGGTTAGCAAAGCAGCTCAACGCAAGCGGGGGACTGCGACACACGTTGCGCGGCGATAAAAAGGTGGAAGAGCTTGAAGGTCATCAAGGGGTCGGGCAGGTCGCGAAGAAACTTCTTGAGGAGCGCGGCGAGCTGGACGGGGTTGTCGTCCGAGAGGTTGACCGAGCTGGCGTCGCGATCGAGCGCTTCTGTGAGGTCTTTGAGGCGACGGATGTTGCCGTTCTTGCGGAAGATGCCCTCGATCGACATGTCTGAGAGGGAGAGGGTACGGTTAGCTCTGTTGGCGGGACTACACCAATGATAGGGAGACTCGCCCATTTGCTTCATCGCCGAGATGACGTCGTCGACAAAGCTCGGGACGCGGAGAGAACCTGGTCCGGCGCCGTGCATCGAGTCGGCGCCGTTGCGCTCGACGAGGACCTCGAGGGGAATGCCGAAGACGCCTGCCGAAGCAACGCGGTGTCAACGCATCACTCTGACAGCAGTCCATTGGACGCACCTTTCTTGGGCACCTTCTTCTTCTCGCCGCCCGCCTTGAAGAGCTTTCCCCAAAAGGTGTTCTTCCGAGCGTCGATGATGTCCAGCAAGTCGTCGAGGGGCGCAACATCGCAGAGAGCGCTCGTCTCGCTCGACAAGAGGACGGCTGAGACGTGCTTGACGATGAAGTACTCGAGCGCCGACAGCTCGGAGAGAAGCTTCGGACCGTTGTTGGCGGGACTCGCGTAAGGTCGACTTTGTTCGCGAGGGTCACTGAGGGGAGATCGCCCGGCCTGATAGTCGGGTGCAGCTGCGCGTTTCTGCTCAGCCTCGAGCGCCTTCGGCAGGTCGGCAAGCGTGAGGCCTTCCTCATCCTTAGTCGGCTCGCTCGTCCCGCCCAGCCCTTCACGTTCGCGCACTTCGCCGCTCGGCACGTCCTCCGTCTTTGGAGGAGGGTCGTCGACGATGCGAACAGCGGTAGTCGCGCGGTTGAAGTGCGGTCGTTGGACCGCAGCGGGAAGGGTAGCTGATGGCGGTAGGGGAGCGGGACCGGCGAGGCCTGGCGAGGGCGTCGGCGTCACGGCATTCGACGGCGTAGGCGTAGCACCACCGGAGGAAGGGGGCGCAACCTCGCGCACTTGTGACCGAGGGATCGTTGTCCCGCGTACGGGGTCGACAAGCGGCTGATCCTTTCGGGACGGAACGGGCGGTTTCGCCTGGAAGAGCTGGAAGGTCGGGTCGGTTGCATCGCTCTGAGCCGTTCGGCCGGAAGGCGACTGGATGACGGTGGACCGCTGAGGGACGCGGGCTGTCGTCGCCGACAGCTTGCGGTCGAGCTGGACGGACTTCATCCGCTTGATGTCGCTCGAGTCGCGATAGGCGTCGGAGAGCGACCGCGTCTCCTCGCCGTCGGCTGCAGATTGAGGCATTAGCGAGACGCACAGCAAGAGCGCGGTAGGACCGGGCGTACGAGGTGTCCCAGGTACCACTCCTCGCTGCTTCAAGCGGCCGTACAGCTTGTTAAGCGCGACGCAGAGCAGGAACGCATATTGTTCGAGTCGCGTGACGTGGGCGAAGCCGTCGACCGTTCCCTCGAGAGATCCTCCCCGTTCCCGCCGCGCGCACTCCTTGCAGACCGTCGACCCCTGTCCGCCTTCACCGCCCGCCGGTACCCAGACGAAGTCGGCGAGCGGCAGCAACGCGGAGGCGTTTGCAGTCGAGTCGTCCTTCGTCGCTAGCCGATGGCACTGGGCGCAGCGCAGGCAGGGCAGATGCCACCGGATCGAGGTGCCGTGACGGACGCATTCTTCCTCGATTGTGAGGCGGCATCCTTCGCACAGATCCGTCGTCGCCTCGCCTTGTCCGACAAGCGTGCCGATAGCGCGGGCGAGAGACTTGTACCCGTACGTAGGTCGAGCGAGAACGGGCGCAACATGCGAACCGCCGTTCGCCTCGTCGCCGGACGCGGATTCAGCCGATCGATCCGAGTCCTTGCGGTTGGGTGCTGTCGATGTCGCGGGTCCAAGGCCGGCACGAGCAGACGAGGCGTTCCGAGCGCCGCCCTTCCTCGCCAACGCCAGCATCGTCGCCGAGATCTTGTTGGCTTCGGGATCCCTCGCCAGGCGGTCCAGCCGCCCGAGGAAGAGCCCGATAGCCTGCACGTTCCCGTGCTCCCGCTCAAGCTTGAGGCTGCCAGCGAGCGCGATGCGGATGAGGATCTTGAGATAGTGGGCGAGGCCGGTGACGAGGGAGAGCAGGTCCTGCGTGATTGACATCTTGCGCGCGCCCGTCTCGTGCGTGTGCGAAAGGAGCATGAAGAAGTTGACGACCTTCTTGCAGAGCATGCGCGCCTCGCGGACGTGTTGTAGTTCTGCGGCCCAATGAGAGTCAGCAAAGGGCAGCTGCGATAGTGCATCGAGTACGCACCTTTCGCCCCAGCTCGTCGGAACGCCTCGTTGAGGTCGTCAATCGCCGCAAAGAGCGTTTCGACGTGCAAGACGAACTTCTCCGCCATCCCGACGCCCTCCATATAGTGCCCGCTGCTGACGTGCCGCAGCATCTCCGAGATGCACGCGGCCGATGACTCCTCGAAAGCCGAGAGGATCGTCCAGATGCGGTAAACCTGCTCCTCCATGTGCTTCTGTCGCGCTTTGAGCGAGCCAGGCGTCTCGGAGGCTTCGATGGCGAGGTACTCGGGCGGAGGCGGGGCGGAAGTGCTCGAGTCAGACACTGTCGCGATAGAATGGTCGGATGGGTCGGATGGAGGAAGCGCTTCGACAGCTTTCGGCGCTGGCGCAAGTTTGATGTTCCAAAACTGCGTGAGCAAGCCCGTCAGTCCTCGTTCAACGGGCTAGCGCAACGAGCAAGCGCACCTTGTGAATCATGTAACACTCTGGATGCCAATGCTCGTCGACCGAGTTGCGGTTGATCTCGACGAATTGCTTGAGGATGGCAGTTCGGCAGCCAGTACACTTGACAGCGAAGCGAGTCGAGTAGTGGAAGTGGCAGTAAACCGAGCCGTCGTGCTCGTAGTACGAGTCTTGCGGGCCGAAGACGGTCGGGCAGACTTCGCAGGTGAAGTGCTCGACGTGGAACTTCATGTCTGCGGGCGAAGAGGTTGGTCAGCCATCTCATGCGGGTTCGACGACGACGGGTTAGACGCACCGAGAGCCGTGATGTAGCTACCGCGCAACGCTTGGCCGCACTTCGCGCACAGCAGGTTCAGCCGGCGGAAGTAGTCGGTCTCGCAAAGCGGCACCTGGCGACCTGAGCCGTCGGTCGCATCGATGGGGAAGAACTTGGCGGCGACCATCTTGCCGCAGTCCTGCGAGGCTTATGCTGTCAGATATGAGAGACTGCGCTAGGAGGAGAGAGTGGACGCACCATGCACCGAAAGCAGTCGAGGTGGTACACCGTTCCCAGCGCTCGCACAAACTGGCCTGTCATCGGCAACTCGCATTTTGCGCACGTCGCAGCCGCCATCCTCTCCTTCCGCGAGCGATCCTTCTCTCTCCGCTCGGCTTTCCCGCCAGGCGTGCCGTCGTCCCGTCCTCGCTCACTTTCTCGCCCGTCGACGCTTGTCGCCGAGTTTCCCCTCGATCGACTACCACTCGTACGAGAGTGACCGTCCGCCGAAGGATTCTGCGACTGGGATCGCGAATGCGATTGTTGCGAATGCGAGGCGGACGAGGAAGGTCGAGAAGGAGGGTGCATGAGGGGACTGTTGCTCGCGGTAGTCGGGTGCGTGTGAGTGGTGGATGATGACGAGTTCGGGAAGTTTGTCGTGATGGGAGACCGGAGGCCGGACTGCGAGTGTGAATGGGAGTGCGAGGAGAGGGTCGAGTTCGAGTGTGAGGGAGGGAAGGTCGGCGAAGGAGTTGCTCGGGTCGAGCTGCTGCTGGGTAGACCGTGCGAAGGTGAATACGAATGCGAGCCGGAACGTTGGCGCGGGAGAAGGGATGCTCGAGAGTCGTTGGGGTGGTGAGGGTAGGCGGGGCTGGCCGGTGACAGCAGGCCGTGACCGACGGGTAACATGTGCGTATTCAGCACGGGCAAGCCTCCGCCTCTGCCCAGACCCTGCCCGCCTGCCCCTCGTCCAGCCAGACCCGCTTCCGAATGCTCCTGAATCTGCCCGAGTCCTCGTTCCCCACTGTTCTGCCGACTCGAGGACATAGTGTCGCTGCCTTTCCTGCGGTACGCGCCGCCGTCCGAATCTCCTGACCCGCCTCGCGCAGGTGAAGGGCCCCGACTGCCCGTCCGCGAGGGGCTAGCTCCGCTGCTGCCGCTTCCGTCCCGCGCAGGCTGGTTCCGCCGTGACGAGCCGTCGTAATGAGCGTGAGCCGCAAGGTGATCGTGGTCGCCGTAGCGAGTTGGCGATGTTGAGAGAGGGGAGTGAGCAACCGGGTGCTCGAAGGGGTGCGCCGACGTCGAGGCTTCGGGCTGTCGCGAGCTCATGGCGAACACTTCTACCACTCCTCCTGTCCCTCACAACAGCGCTGGCCTGCCCACAACGCGGGAAGAACCGCTGCGAACGCTAGCGCCTCGAGGCGGAATGTCGCGGCGGACGGCGGGGGGGTCGTGGGCGCTGGCGTGGTGGTCAAGCGGCCGTGTACACGTCGCTCAGTCGACTCGCAAGGTCTTCTACTCAGCCGAGACCGTGGATGGCGAGTTCGCTGGTCGGTGTTTGGTGGAGTGAGCAGGGGTGGGGTCGGTCGGCTGAAGGAAGCTGAGCGCGGCGAGGGGTAACGAAAGCGAGCTGCGACAGCCCAGCAAGAGACTTCGGCACACTGTCGGCGAGCGAGACGCCGTGCTGTGCGGAGCAGAGGAGCGATCCGCTTCCCTCGCAGGCCTCTTCGTCGCTGAAGAGAAGGAACGCGCACGGTAGACATTGCAGATGATCCGTGGATGTACAACGTCACGAGAGGAACAGCACGGGAGGGAGACGAGGTTGAGGAAGGGAACGACGGAATCGCCGTTGGAGAACCCGACGACGCTGCGTCCCGGCAAGTTGCTAGAGCTCCAGGATCTCGCGGAAGCGTTGTAGCTCGTAACAGTCATCCCCCTCGCACTCGTGGACGAAAGCCGTGGCAAAGTCAATGAAGCGAAGCTGGCCGGCGGATGAGCGGAGGACGTTGCTGGGCTTGATATAGCCGTGGTAAATGCCGAGACGGTGAAGGTCTTGCAAGTTGTTGTAGAGCTGCGGTCTGTGAGGAAGGAAACCAGTGAGATTGCAGGAGAAGTGAGCAAGTGACCTTCGCACGTACCGTTCGTCAGCCGTCAAGTCCGTCCACGACCGCAGGTGGGACCCTCCGTCCTCCATCACAAACACGATCGTTGTCCAGTCCAAGTATTGCGACCCCCGCATAGCACGAAACAGCCGTGGGACGAGCTTGCCGTCAAGAGAGGCGTCCTGGATTGTCCGGTAGACGGCCAACTCGTTCTCCGCCTCCTCTACGCGGTCGGCATGGCTGAGCTTAGCGACCAATGGCGCATTGTCAAAGCCAACAACTCGGTGCACGACGCCGTCTCGTCCGCCATCGAGCGGATTAATTTCGAGCGCGAGGATGGGGAGACCGGACTCAGCGGACGTGGGCGGCGTGGAGATTGACGTCGGTGTGTGCGAGAATGCTGGAACAGGTGGTTGAACGGCATTTGCAGGCAGGGTCGAGGCCAAAGGCGACGTCGTAAAGGAGGTCGCAGTGAAGAACTCGTCGAGAAGGCCGTTCGAGTACATGTAGGCAATTTTGAGCGAACGCAACTGTGTGAGGTGGTCAGCATGACATCGTGAGAACTGTGAGAGTCGAGGTACGCACCGTCTGCAGTTCCTGCATAGAAACGCTCCGGTAGGCCAACTCGGCGATTTCGGGGGTCTTGTCAACATGCTCTTCCGGTTCTAATAGAGCGCCTGGTAACTGCTTGTCCTGCGCCTGGATGGCGCCCGGCACTGTCGCTGTTTGCGCCATAGGCTGATCTTCGGGCATGGCGCAAGTTGCGGGCGGCGCCGTCGAGGCTGGACTATCGCAAGTTTCGCGCCGGCGGCAGTTCCGCAGGTCGTGAGCGGGAGACTGATATCGCGGATCAGTCTGAATCAGCCGGAGAAGGTCTGCAGAAACTGCGTCCGAGGCGGCGCCGCCAATCAGAATGTGCGGGAGAGAGTGCCCGTCTGCGGCAAACGACCCCGAGATTGGGACGAGTTCGCCGATAGCAAGGATGTAAGGGGATGAAGGAGTAGAGGGAGTGGAGTATGAGGTAGGCGTGTTCCGCCGAGGCGGGGACTGGCCTGTAACACGGACTATTGTGGGCGCCGCGGGAGGAAGAGCTGAGAGGTGCTCTGTGTCGCGAAGGGGAAGAATGTACATAGGGAGAAGAAAGTTCCAGTCTAGTGCAGTCAGGAAGAGACAGTGAGGAAGATGCAAAGCCCGGTGGAGGAGCTGCACGGTTTCGGACTTTCGGTCAGTCACTTGCGCACCGTAAGGAGGGAGCGAGACTTGCCTTTGTCACGAAACCTCTCGGCCCAGCGTATGGCCCGCCAGGAAAGCCGCACAACGAAGAAATGAACACTCCGTCCGTCGCAAGTTGCGAGAGATGGGTATGAACGCTGCGGATCAGCCCGTCGACAGCTGCGGATCCGCGAGTGGTTGGACTGCCGAGTCGGGTCGAATCGCCCTTCTTCAGCTCGAGCAGCCCACGCATGGTTCCGCCCACGTAAAGGTCGGCGGTACTGACGAAAGTGGACGAGACCGACATGTCCGACTTGATCGTGCGCCGCAAGAACAGAGCTCCGAGTTCTGCGCAAGCACGTTTCACGGATGAGAACAGTCCGCGCGTGTGCGCCTCGGGCGTGGAAGCCTGGACGGGATTTGTCGTTGCATGGTTCAGCGACATGGCGACGTAGCAGAGTTGGGACAGCCGGTCCTCGTTAGCATCGTCACCTCTTTGTAAAGAAAGTAGAGGCACATCTGCGAGGCTGGAGCTGCGGAAAAGCACGTCCGCGTGAAGGGAAAGGCGATTCGCCAGGTCGGGGACGAAGATGATTCCGACTGGCGGCTCGATGCCGATGTCGCTCGGACGTGCAACGGCCTCGATGTTCGACGTGTCGCAGAGTGGTACGGCGGCCTCAGACGAGGCTATCGTGACGGGCGGAACGCGCAAATGCTGCGTCCAGGAATGGACCGTCGCCGAGGAGTCGTCGCGAAGGAGCTCACCGGGTGAGGGTGTCGCTGCATATGTCGGTGGTGGCTGCGATGATGCTGCAGGACATGCGCGCAATGGTCAGCGAGTATAAGGACAGCGGACGAGAGTTGACGCACTCGATGGGTCTGTCATTGGTGCAGAGCTGAATTCGGTTCGGCGAGGAGACTTGCAGCAAGCAGTAGCAAGTTCAGCAGCAATGGCAAGAGCGCGTAGCACGGCAGTAAGTTCTCCGCGAGATGAGGAGGAAGAGAGGGGCGAAGGTGTCCCTCACACCGCTCACCTCGAACAACTTGCTGAGTTGGACAGCTAGGGCTCCTTTCCGCTCTGTTCTGGGACTCCATGACGTCCGGCGCTCTGCTCGCGGCGCTGCTGGCCGGCGTCGCTGCGATCGGCCTCCTCCTCGTGCGTCCAACGTCCTCTGCGCCGACCGGCTCGATGGACGGGACTGACCGTTGAGGACGCTGATTGGCAGGCCTACACCCTCCTCGTCCTGTTCTCGCCGCAAGAACCGACCCCGCACCCCTCGGAATCGACCTACCTCTCCCCCTCGACCTCCTCAAACCCTCAGCCTCTTCCCTCATTGACAGATCCCGACCACCTCGATGCGACAGTCGAGTTGAGCGTCGTCATCCCCGCCTACAACGAGTCGAAGCGGCTCGAGGTCATGTTGCGGCCGGCAGTCGAATACCTCGAGACTCGTTCGCTCGAGACGAATGGACGGCGGACGGTGATGCTGCCGAAGGAAGTTAAGCAGGGCAGCTACGAGGTTCTCATTGTCGACGACGGGAGTAGGGACGGAACGACGGAGAAGGCGCTCGAGCTGGCAGCGGAATTGGAGAAGCAGTACGGAGCGAAGCGAGGAAAGGTCAAGGTGTGCAAGCTGGTCAGGAATCGCGGCAAAGGCGGAGCAACGAAACATGTGCGTGTTGCGGAGCTCAAGAAGCCCGTCGCAGCTCGGCTAAATGCTTCGCTTGAACAGGGCGTCCTCCACGCTTCCGGCCACCGCATCCTCTTCGTCGATGCGGACGGCGCGACCCGCTTTGAGGATCTCGCACTACTTGAAGAAGAGCTTGACGTGCTCGAGGCGCAACAGGCAAAGAAAGGCTCGACCGATCAAGCGCCGCAAGGCCTGATCGTCGGTTCGCGAGCGCATCTCGTCTCGACGGAAGCAGTCGTTAAGGTGGGCTCGAGAAGCTCATGACGGGAACCCTTCCGTTTCACTTGACGCTGATGCTTGTCCTGCCGTCGCATAGCGCTCCGCCCTTCGCAACCTGCTCATGCGGAGCTTCCACCTCTACCTCTCCCTCCTTGGCCTCTCGACAATCCGCGACACCCAATGCGGCTTCAAACTCCACACCCGCCGCACAGCACAACTACTTTACCCCTCGCTGCACTCGCCCGGCTGGATTTTCGACTGCGAGCTCTTGCTTCTCGCTGAGCGGTGCGGTGTGCCGCTGCGAGAAGTCGGCGTCAAGTGGACGGAGGTACCCGGGAGCAAGCTGGATGTCGTCAAGGACTCGATTAGGATGGCGAGGGATCTGCTGGTCATTCGAGGGAATTACCTCACGGGGCGGTGGAAGACGCCGGGGACGGTCAGCGTTGTGGGTGGAGCGGTGAACGGCGCCGAGTCAAAGAAGAGTCGATAGACAGGACGAAGCGATGTGATATGCAGACACTCTGATGAGCTCTCTCCAGCCCAAGCAGAGTGGTTAGACGAGCTACAAATGCTATGCTGGCGATACAAGTCCGTTCTACAGAACGACGATATCTACGGCCGCTCTGCTCCCCAAGCTCTGCGTCCCTCAAGATGCGAACACTCTCCCCTATGTTCACTCCTATCCTTCCGCCATCCTCCAGGTCCCCACTCCTCACTCTCTTCCCTCTCCCAAACCTCCTTCTCCCGTCTCCTCCTCTCCTCGATGTCCTCCTTCCCAACTTGACTAAGCGTGAGGTGCGGCACGCCCGGTGCGTTCGAGCAGTCCGGTACGGGACAGAACGAAAAGTCGGCTGCGTGCGCTTCGATAGTCGAAGTGAGCTCGAGGGCGAGGGAGGCGACGAGGGGTGTCGAGGCCGAGGGGGAGTAGAAGTACGGAACGGGCAGGAGTCGACGTGTGTGGCAGAAGCGCGAGAAGAGCGGATCGGGATCGAGGAAGAGGGAGGGATCGTCTCCGCTGCTGGTCACAAGCTTTTCGAGGCCGTCCTCGTCAAACAGCTGAGGGAAGTACTGCTTGACCCAGTCCTCCGCAACCGCCTCGCGGAAGACGACCACCCTCCGCGTTCCTTCCTCCAGTCGACCGCTCGTCCTCGCCCACCGTTCCCAGCGATCGTTGACGTCCTCCGCGCGATCAACCGTCTTTCCCACCATGTCCTCGTAGCCCTCGCTGAAAGCCTTCGTCCATGCTTTGACGACGCGTGGAGCGAGCGTGTCATGCAATCCGAGACCGAGCGAGCGAAGTCGAGTCGGAGGAGGGAGGACGAGGATGTCGCGGACGGGAGGGACGAGCTTTTCGTCGTCCGTCGGACCATTTGCGGTCGGAACAGAAGCATGGACGTTGGGCGCGTCCGCAGGCCGTTCCTTCGAGATTCGCCGCCAGGCGCGGACGATGTCGTCTGCTCGGGCGAGGCCGACACCGGCACAGCACTTGCCTGACAGGAGACGAGCGTCAGCTACCAGATCGTCTACGGAACAGGCACGCGTGTACGCACCGAGCCACCGCAACGTCGCGAAAGCAGTCGGCTCCTCCACCGCCTCTCGACTGATCAACCCGCTACACCGATCGAGCACGAGTGTCTCGAGCGTCGGGTGCAGCTTCAACAGCAGCGGGAGACGCGCATCGTCGAGCACGTGGGTAGTCGAGAGATCTAGGTGTTGGAGGGACGGGAAGGAAGGGGAGAGCGGTAGGGACGGTGGGAAATCGGTAAGGGAGGGGAGGAGGTTGCGGCGTGGGAGGCGGAAGGTGAGATGGGTGAGTTGACCGCCGACTCGAGACGTAGCGAGTCGAGTAAGGCAGGAGAGCTGAAAGAAGACCTATGCATAGCGGTTGCGAAGGTCAGCGACTTGTCGAGAGAGCAGAGCGAGGAGGATGCTGAGGGTACTTACGATAGGCTGAGCAAAGTCCATCTTTCCCTGTGCGGCTTTCCTCCCATACTTGCCCGAAATCGGCACAGATGCCTTGATCTCGTCGAGCCGCAATTGGTCGAGTTCCGCCTCGAGGTCATGCAAGCCGAACGCGGGCGTCTCCTTCTTTGTGACGCCGTGCGTAGGAGGTAAATCTTGGATGAACGAGACGCGCCGCAGAGAGGGTAAGTCGGAACTGGAAAGGCGGGAGAGCGAGTAAGGCGCGATGTCGAAGTAGGCGCCCTACGTGACAACAGGCATGAGTTGGGCCCACACAGCAAGTCTGTAGGGATGGACGCACCTTCAGGAAGGTATAGTAAGACCGCTCCGCGCAGTACGGATTGAAGCGGAACGCCAATTGCTCAAGCTGCTTCCATCGACCCGTCCGCTTGATGCTTGCCGGGTCGAGCAAATCCTCGAGATGTTCCGGTGCGGCGAGAGGTCCGACGGTGAGGCAAATCGAACGCAAGGAGGGTAGGGCGAGCAGGAGGTTGACGAGTAGTTGCGGGTCGTCCCTGCGAGGAAGTGAAGGTCAGTCGCCAAGCCCGCTTTTGTCCCACCTGGCAGAAGGTCCGCAATCTCCATCCACCCGGACACGTTCAGCCTGCTCTCCCTTCTCCTGGGCCCGTTTACAAGGCGGATGACCTCACCTCCACAATGCTGTGGCGACCGTTCGAGCGCAATCTGCCGCTCCCGGCTCCTGCCTGAGCTTCTGAATGATCTGCCACGCCTGTACCTCCCTGTTCACGCGCACATGTCGCCAGAAGAGCGCATTCGAGATGTGTGCCGTCCGAGGGAGCGCACGCGAGAGGGCGAGGGCGGTATGCTGGACCTCGTTCGCCGGGAGTTGGGCGACCACGTGGTCCCAGAGCTCAGAAGGGAGTCGTTCAGCCACGATGGGCAGACTTTGAGCCGGTCAAGCGGGAAGAGTCAAGTTGTATGCGGGTCGAGGAGCAAGATGAGGAGGAGAGGAAGGGTTGACAGCGAACCACACGCTCTGTTACCGCTGGGCTGTCTCTGCTAGCGCTCGAGAAACTCGCACTGTCCCACTCGTGAAGCAACGCGACTTCTCCCGCCCTGCGACGCCCTCCCACTCCTCTCACCGCCTCACTCGACCAACTCCCGCTCTCGCACCCGCTACACAGCTTGAATAGGCTCACGGAAGTCAGGATGGCATCACAGATCCCTACACAGGACGTGCACCGCCTGGCACGCGAAGGTGCGTCCTTCTCGACTTCCTCTCCTCGAAGCATGAGCTGACGCGGCCGCCATCTCTCGTCCATTTGCCTTGCGCCGTCTACTGTATATTCTTTGACAACCGCAGGAAACGCCAGTCTGCTGCGGATGGCGTTGGAGGTCAATGCAGATCTTGTTGCTTCAGTTGATTCGGTGAGTTGGACTCTTCACGCGTGTGCAGCCCGGCCTTCTGTCGGCAGAGGAGTGCTCGAGCCTGCTGACTGTTTTGCTGATCCCGCGATCCAATAGGACTCCCGCACGCCTCTCCAAAACTCCCTTTCAGCCATTCCTCCCTCCGTCGCCTGTGTCGAAGCCTGCCTCGACGCCTTCAACAATCTTTCCGACGGCGGATTCGGCGAGAAGCGGAGGACGAAGGTGTTGGAGAATCAGGACGAGGTGGGGAATACGGCTTTAATGAGTGCGGGTGAGTTGGCAGGTCTTTCGTGGTTGCCACGGGTGGATGGGCGAGACTCGCTGGAGCGCAGTTTTTCAGTGAATGAGGACGCGGGCTTCTAGTGGAGAAGCGCCCTGTCGACCCTCTCACGGCTTACGAAGACGCGATATCTCCTTGCGAAGGTCGACCTTGATCGCTTGCATACTCGCTGACACTCCTTCCTACGCTCTCGCAGCTGCTATCGGTAACCTCGAGATCCTCACTCTCCTCATTGGCGCCGGAGCGGATGTCAACGCGGTCAACAACAAGGAGCAGACTGCGCTGTGAGTGCCCTCCCTGACTGCACTCGACTGTGCAGCAAGATGTGATCGCTCGCCCGGCATGCTTCCTCTTGTGAGTGCGCTCGCTGACCCGATCTTCCTTGACAGACACTATGCCGCGTCGAAGGGACACGTGAACGTGCGTTCGCAGGAACGGCTGCCAGCTATTCGTGTTTGCCGACCGCTGACATCGCACGATACCGCCACTGCATAGATCGGGCGCCTACTGATCTCGAAAGGAGCGGACATCAACGCTCGCGACCGGGCGAACCAGCTTCCCTTGTAAGTCAGTCTCGCTTCGCCCAGCTGCAGGACCGCTTCGCGGCAGTTCTTCCCCTGCTTCTTGCAACCGGGATGCTCACTCTCTCGTTCCGCTCGCAGACACCGAGCCGCCTCGACAGGCTCCGTCCCCTTCATCCACCTCATCCTCGCGTCGAAGTCGCCGAACAAGCCTGAGAAGCCTCGACTGAACTTGCTCGTGAGTGGCCTGTGACTTTCTCCCTTGACCGAGGTGCGATTGGGAGCGTCGGCTTGCGGGTGCTTGGCGTCACTGGCATATTGGCACGCGAAGTTGAGCAGGATATGTCGCTAACTCTCTTTCACCCGTAGGACCGTGCCGGCAACACCCCTCTCCACCTCGCCATCGAGTCAGGACACGCAGAAGCAGCCGTCACGCTCATCGAAGGCGGCGCAGACCGGGATCGAGGAGATGCGGACGGGTGCGTTCGACTCACTCGCCTGCCTCTCTCGCCTCGTCTGCGTTCCCTTACGTGGACCGAGCCTGGCTGACTCGAGATCCGACCCGTTGGACAGGACTCGGCCGGAGGAGATTGAGGGCGTCGGCGGAACGGAGGCGAAGCGAGTGCGGGAGTACAGTACGTTTGCTCTCGTTTGCCTCTGCCACTTGGCTCGCGTTTCGTCGCTACGCAAAGACAGATTCACAGTTGCCATGGAAGGCTACGGAGCTGACCGTACCCCTCGACAGTCGTTCAACGATGCGGTCCTCTCCAGGCCCTTTAGCTTCTCATCATCGCTTGCAATCACCAGCTTGTCATCTCGCCACTCGCAACGTTCAGAAGTCGTAAGGTACTGCTATGCGATTGCTGATGCTCCAAGATACCCAAAAGATGCCCAAGAACACTGAGAGAGCGATGGGAGACAACCGAGAATGTGCGAAGGGTATGCCTAGAGACCGGAATGCTGGGTATGCCGATGTAAAGGGGGAGTCAGAGAGTGTCTATTGTGAGAAGGCGAGTCCGAGGCCGACGACCGGTCCATTGAGCGATTCTTGCGACTCGACTGCCAGCCGGCGCTTCTTCTCGAATCGCCGCCGGGCGAGGTCGCTGCTTGCGACGAACGAGGGTGAAGGGGAGCGGAAGAAGCTGGTCTTGGAGAAGGCGGCGACGAGCGAGGGTGAGTGCATATTGATCGAGGGCGAGAACGAGAGACCGGGCGTCGTGAGAGGCGAAGTATAGGGCGCGGAAGGGGAGGACGACGCGATGGAGAAGCCGGAGGACGACGAGACCGAGCGCGATAAGGACGAAGAGAACAGCTCGGGAGTCGAGGATGACCAGGTCGAGTCGGTGTCCGAGGCGAGCGAGGATGAAAGGGAGAAGGCAAAGGACGGGAAGGAGGGGATAGTCGGTCGCATGGAGAAGGGAGGCGAGAATGTTGTTGGAAGCGAGTCGGCGAGGGGAATGAGGGCGGGAGAGGATGGCCTGGGTGACGAGAGCTCGAGGTCGAACGGGATGTCATCCGTGTCGGCGTCCTCGACCGCGTCGTCCCACTGACCATTCTCGACGGGCAACGTCGCCAACGAAGAGAGGGGAGCAGAGAACGCCTTGAACTGGATCGGCGCCCTTGAAGCCCGTTGCCACCGCCGCTCGTCCTCCTCGTCGCTGCTCGAGATGCTTCGTTCAGCCTGATACACCTGCGCCGTGAACCTCGAAAGGTTATTCATCGCCGGTGAGCGGCGCATTGGGGTGGAGTGGGGACCGACGGGCGACGTGGGAGACGGAGGGAGAGGCTCGAAGATGGGTGCAGGAGGGAGAAGGGGAGCAGGAGGAATGGAACGTGTAGGCGACACCGGCTGTGCAGCCGACGTCGAAAGCTGGAAGAAGAAGTCTCCGTGTTCGCCCGAGGAGAACGTGGGATCAGCAGGCGAGTCGAGTGCGCGCTTGCGAGTGTTGAGGTGACGGTTTCGAGGAGGTTGGCGCGGCGTTGAGGGTTCGTAAGGCGTGAAAGTGGTACGAGTAGGCGTGACTGGTGTAGCAGGCATTGTATGCGGTCGTCTAGGCGTGAAGAGGAGGTATGTGCGGGGCTGCAGAGAGGTGGATGAGGGAGCGAAAGGGTCAGCAAGGACGAGCGGGCGAAGGCATTCCACCGCCTCAGCGACTGTTTACTGCTGCGCACCTGTACAGGAGTATGTCCAACGACTAACAAAGAGCGGAAAGGTCGACGGGGAGACAAAGAGCGAGAGAGAGGAGAGGAGGCGAGGAGGACGGACGCGACGAGGAGGTGAGCGGTCCCAGCGACGCTGACAATGCAAATCTCGCGTGCGGGACCCTGCGTACAATAAGCAGGCCCGGCAGCGATAGACATGGCGCAAGCGAGACAACCCAGATCAATGCGCTCCTTTTGATCACGAAATGAGCGAGATGGAAGCCATTGTTCGTCGCCACCTAGCTTCTTTCGCACGTGGAGACAATCCTTGGATACTCTCGATGTCGAAGCCAGGTCGTAGCGGCCCAATCGCGACGTTGCCAGCGGTGGAACCGAGTGAGAAGGCGAGGGGAGAGCGAGCGCCGACGAGGACGAGCGGCGGGAGCTGCGTCGTTGCCTGACGGCGAGCGGCACCGGTCCGCTGTGCCGGCAGGGGCGCTAGCGAGAGATCGACCCATTCGGCGCAAAGAACAAGGCCAGAGGATCCCCCGACGAGGGACAAAGGGGACGCCCGTTGCGACACGAGCGTGTTTTTTTCGAACGTGTCGAGCTTGCAATTGTGCGGCGATGTCGCAGGAACGTTCGACGGAGAGCAGCGAAAGAAGAGAAGCGTGCGCTAGAAGCCTCACGCGAGGACAACGATGCTCGGCTGTGGTTGCGAGTCGGGCAGCCCGTCTATGGCGCGGCGACGCTCACGCCTCAGAAGTACGATCCAGCCCCGAAGTAATCACCCAACTGTCCTCCATCGCCACTGTCCTCCTCATCCGAGCTGTCCGCGCCCGAGTCTGCGAGCGAGAGACCGGCGAGAGCGGCTTCGGCCGGTGGAGGCGGAATCTTGCGAGGAGGAAGCGTGCCGGTCGCGCGTGGTGTGAAGGCGGGGCGTGGTGGCGCGAATGGCTTGGTTGTCAAGGCGGCGCGGCCGGAGGGCATCTTGGCTTGTAGGGTCTGGGGCGAGGGAACAGCCTCGAAGTGGACCTGCGAATTTCAGGGCGTTAGTATCGTCGCTGGCGCCTGTGAACGCGTCTAGAGAGACGCACCGTATCATTGACCTTCTTGTACGCGCTCGCGAACGCCTCGGTACTCTCCACCTCCTCCTGCACCTTCCCCTTCCTCCCCTTCCCCGCCGCCTTTCCCTTCCCAAACCCCTTCAACGCCTTAATCCCCTTATCCTTCTCCCGCAACACCTCAAGCTCCCGCGCCGCCATGCCTAAATAGCCCAACGCGTCCCCCGTTGCGCCTTGTTCGCCTGCATCCACGCCGAGCCATTTGTACGAGAGTGCGAGGGCGAGTGTACGCCCGTCTGAGAGGTAGCGGCGCAAAGGGAGGGAGATCTCGCCTGTTGAGGAGGACGACGCGGAGACGGTTTTGACGAGCGAACGGGACTCGGCGTAGAGGGTGTAGACGTGGAGGTGGAGTTTGGCGAGAAGCGAGGGGGAAGGATGTGACGGAGGAAGCGGAGGTCCGGGGGTGGTTGTCGAGTGTGCGACGGATATTGAGCGGGACAAGAGGCGGCGGATGGCGAGGAGGTTTGCGTCGGCGAGGCACATCCTGCGAGGTGCAAACGTAAATCAGCGAACTGATGTCAGAAAGCGGCTTGACAGCTTGACTTACTTTCCCAGTGCGGTGCAGACCTCCCGGGTCATCTCAACAGGCCTGGCCCGCAACGCCTCCGTCCCAACCGCCGCCTCCCATCTCGGCACGACCACCTCTGCCAAATGCAGCAAGATCCCGCTCGCTCGGCACAGTACGTCGGCAGCCTGGTTGATCGTCTCGTCGTGGACTTTGATCGCGGACGAAGAGACGGAGGCGGAGATTTCGTATGAGCCGAGAGAGGCGACGAGGGCGGAAGCTTGGTTTGAGAGGCAGAGGGCGTAGGAGAGGAGGGTGCCCGCAAGCTCGGCGTGTCTGCGATTCAGGCGAAGCAGCGTAAGTGCTCGCCTTGGTCGCAGGTCAAGCGAATCACGGCCCAACACACAGTGAGGGCAGCAAAGCCCGCTTGTTGCCCTTCTTCAGCGTTTGCGACGACAGCGAGGCTCGCCATGCAAAGTAGACTGTTGGAGAAGCGTCACGTCGGCCATCGAGCGCAAGAGGAGCAGAGTCCGGCACGCAGGCAACGAACCTGGATCTGTCGCGAGGAGGAGGTCGTCTGCCTCGACGCACGCCAGGATCGCGTAAAGATAAGGCAAATATTCTGCGATGGCCTGTGTGTATCGCGCAGGCACCAGCGAGTCAGCATGAGCGGGTTCACCGTTTACGCTCGCTCAAGTCGCGAGTCGCTTGGCGGGACGAAGACGCACCCTCGCTGCGCCAGCCCAGTCCGCGCCTCGCCCATCCTGCAAGCCATCCTTCTTTGTCGCCTTGAGCGCGGTCCTGACCCTCCCACGAGCAGCGTTGGCGTCGGTGAGGTCGCGAGTGTGGGACGACGAGGGGTCCTGGAGGAGCTGGTGAAGCGCGACGGGTGCTGGAGTGAGCGGCGGTAGCATTCCTGAGCCTGTCTAGCTGTCTTGGCAGTCCGAATGAGCCACTCAGCAGCAGTACAAGCGGATGTCAGCTGGTTGCCTTCGACGAGGACGCGATGACCAACACCTTGCCTCGCTTGATCCGCTCGACTCGCTCTCTTTGCGAGTTTGCATGCTGACGAGGACCTGCACCAGCTTATACAGCTCTGCCACCACCACTGCCAGGCGCTCTCTCGCTCGCACACCTCTCGTTCGCTCTCCCTCGTCCCCACTTCCCTCCGTCATAGCGAGTCGCTTCTCAGCGAGTGCGTCGCAGACCTTGCTGAGCAGTGCGAGGGCGTGACTGACCTCGCCTGAGCATTTGCCACAGCTCCCCTCATCTTCCAGCACACTTCCCGCACCCTCACCACCCACTCGCGCTCACTCGCACCCATGGCCGGCGAACACGGCGCCCACGAAGGCGAGTCGAAGGCCGCAGCAGGCAACAAGCAGGACATCACTGCTTGGGCTAGCAAGGACGGACAGTTCAGGCGTCAGGTGTCGACCTTCCGCGACAAGATCGAGGTCGGCGGCAAGTACCCGCCTGAGGAGGGCCGCTACATGCTCTACGTCTCGCTTGCGTGTCCCTGGGCGTGAGTCGACGACCTCTAATGCGTAGCGAGGCACACGAGGACTGATAGCTGCTGACGCTCCCTGCGGAACAGCCACCGCACCCTGATCGTCCGCAAGCTCAAGGGCCTCGAGAAGTTCATCGACGTCGCTGTCGTGCACGCGCACATGGGCGCTCTCGGATGGTCGTTCTACCCGCCCGTCCGCGACCAGGACGGAGGCTGGCCCAAGACGCAGGTGCGTGGTCGATCGACCGCTTCTTGCTTGGTCTCGCATCTCCTGCCAGTTCTCCGACGATTGACGGCGCCGTCACTCCTCTACAGGGCGAAGTCGGCGAACCGGACGGTCTCGCTGAAGTGACCGGCGACCCGCTCTACAAGTCCAAGTTCCTTCGCGAGCTCTACTTCCGCGTCGACCCGGACTACAGCGGCCGCTTCACCGTCCCCGTCTTGTGGGACAAGAAGACCGAGTCCATCGTCAACAACGAGAGCTCCGAGATCATTCGGTTCATGAACTCGGAGTTTAACTCGTTGCTCGACGAGGAGCATGCAAAGGTCGACTTGTACCCCGAGGCGCTCAGGAGCGAGATCGACGACCAGAACAAGTGGGTGTACGACACGGTGAGTCTCGCTTCCTTTTGAGCTTGAGGCGCTCTCCCTTCATCGCGATTCCTCTCCTTTCCGAGCCGCACTCACGCTTCTTCCGATCGCCCTCACAGGTCAACAACGGTGTCTACAGGAGCGGGTTTGCGACGACGCAGCAGGCTTACGAGGACAACGTCGTCCCCCTCTTCAAGTCGCTCGACCGGCTCGAAAAGATGCTCGAGGGCAAGCAGTTCATCGCAGGCGACCAGCTCACCGAGGCCGACGTCCGGCTCTACACGACCATCATCCGCTTCGACCCAGTCTACTACAGCCACTTCAAGACCAACATCGGCACGATCCGCCACCGCTACCCGAACCTCAACGCATGGCAGAAGCGCCTGTACTGGCAGAACGACGCGTTCAAGTCGACCACCAACTTTGACCACATCAAGCGACACTACTTTGAGAGTCACCCGCAGATCAACCCGACCCGCGTCGTCCCCGTCGGCCCTCAACCGCACATTGAGCACCTTTGAGGAGGGAACGGTCGGGCTGTTTCGTCGTCGCCTTGTCTCGATTGCCACGTACAAAGTCCTGTAACTAAGGCTCGTATTGCTTACAACCGTCTACGCCGTTTCTTGCGGTGAGAGATCAAGTCGAGTCGCTCCCGACGACGCTCGCGAAGGTCGAACGAGGACGGCATCTTCGCCTTCGCCCGTTCACACGCTTCCAGGCTCTGCCAGTTGCTGCGCCGTCCAGTATCGCTCTTTGTCAAGCTACGAAAGACCGCTGCAACAGCCAAACGCCGCTCGCCTTCCTGCTGTTCCCCTCGACCAGCCTCATCGCTATAAGCCGAATCCTCGACATCACTGCCCCGGCCACCTCCTCTGAGCACTTGCAAACCACTTCACGACTATGTCAGGACCCTCACAGACCCTCCCCACGGCCGACGAGGTCTCCGCCGCCTCTTCCGTAACCATCCTCGACTCCTCCGGCAACGAACTCCCCCTCAGCACGCTCTTCCAGAACGAAAAGGGCGGCAAGGCGGTGGTCATCTTCATTTGACACTTCCTGTGCGGGCTGTGTGCGTTCGATCGGTCTCGTCTGAGGATGAGTTCCCGCTGACCTTGTCCTTGCCCTCTCGCACATTGTAGGCCAGGACTACGTCTCGTTCCTCTCGCACAAGCTCGCCCCATCCTCCCTCGCCGCCAGTAACATCAAACTCTCGATCGTCGGCTGTGGCGACCACAAGTTCATCGAGAACTACCGCAAACAACTCGACTGTCCGTTCGAGATCTACGCGGATCCGAGCAAGAAGGCGTACGAGGCACTGGGCATGACGCACCGCACGCTGGATCTGGGGGACAAGGCACCTGAGTATGCGAAGGGAGGGATGGTGAGCAATGTGGTTGGGTCAATCGCCGTGCGCTTCCCATCTTTCACTCCCTCTCTCCCTCGCTTTGGCTGATCTCGGGGCCGTCGCTAGAGCGCCTTCAAGATGGGCAGATTTACGTCGGCCGGAGATATCAAGCAGCTCGGTGGCGAGTTCGTATTCGAGCGAGGACAGGTCGTCTGGTGTCACCGAATGGCGGTGCGTGCCGTCTTCCTGCTGTCTTCCGGCCCTGGCTGACACTCGCCCTACAGAACACCCGCGACCATGCGCCCTTCAGCGAACTCTCACAAGCGATGGGCATCAACGCGCAGTGACAGCCCCGACCTCGTTTTCACATTGGTCCTTCGACTCGACTCGACATATCCTTACGTCTCGACATGTAGCCCGCCTTACTCAGTACTCACAAATGTTGCAACCCCCGCGTCTCTTCGATGTCGCCAATGGACTTGATGAGACGTCTCGCCGGAGAGTCCGCGGACTCCTCGACTCCTTCGTCTCTCGCTCCTCTTACTTCCAGTACTCACCTTGCTTGCGGGGTCTGCTCTGTCCCGCCTGCTCGCGACCCACCATGTACATCCCGGTCGCTGATCACGTTAGTTACGCCTTTCAACACGCTGCTGGTTACCTGGTGAAGCGTGCTGAGGAAGAAGCGACCAAGCCCTTCGAGCTGACACACGTGCGTGCTCTCCTTCCTCCCTAATATCTCGCTAACCGTACCGCGACAGACACAATGGGTCACGGTCTATTGGATCGAAGCCAGTATCATCGTACTCCTCTTCACCTGGAACCTCTGGCTCGCACGCTCGATCATCTTTCCCTTCAAGTTGTGCGCCGTGGCATGCCACGAAGGCTGTCATGCCCTCGCGGGTTTGTTGACGGGCGCGAAGGTCAAGTCGATCGTGTTGGACCCGAATCAAGGAGGGACGACGAGGTGCGCAGTGTGCGCTTATCTAGCTTGCGAAGTGGCTAATCCTGTCGCGTCGCCAGGATGATCGGCGGGTTCGCCTTTTGCAGTTTGCCGGCAGGATGTGCGAGCTCTTCCTCGCCCGACTGACTTCGAGCGAAGTTGAAGTCGTCTCTGCAGACATCGGCTCGACACTTATCGGCTCGGGTCTACTCTTCGCCTCCTTCGACCAGAAAGCTAGCAAGATCGCGTTCGTCTCGACCGGCTTTCTTGCCCCTAGTCTAAACTGATCTTGCGGTCGCAGCGCAATCCCGCTCTTCGTCCATCTGACCATCGTGTCTCTCTGGGCTCGACACTCGCGCTTCACACTTCTCAACGTCACATTCATACAGGGCTTGATCCTCATCTTCTGTGAGTTTGCTTTCTCCACCCACCGTCGCCCGGCTCACTCGCTACGTGGCAGACATCGTCGCGCACGCCGTGTTTTTGCGGTTCCTCCTCGCGTTGATCGGTGTAATGAACGTTATGTACAGCGTTTGGGATCAGCTGGATGACCTTGTGTGAGCAACCGCTCTCTCTACCTCCGCCCGCCTACGACTAACCCTTCTTCCGTTTCCTCCTCCAGCTTTCACGCACGTCCTGCCCTCTCGATTTCTCGTCCTACGCTCTCACGCTCTCCGCTCGCAGAAAATCAACGAGTCTGATGTTTGCGACTTTCAGCGCCTCTACCCTTGGCTGCCGGCGCAAGTCTGGGGCGCGATCTGGACGTTCGTTTCTTGCTCAGGTCGTGCGTCCAGCCTCGCAAAGCCTGAAAAGCTGCTCGCTGACTTCTCTTTTTGCAGTGACGGCGGCCATCCTCGGCGGAATCGTCACGTTCAAGAAGGACTTTGCGGCGCAGTACTTCGAGTCGCAGACGTTTATCCCGACGTAGACAGCTCGTTCGGCGCGCACCAACGTGTCTGGTACTGCTTGACTTCGATACATCGTCTGAGAGGGAAGCTACGTCCGCCTTCAGCCACCGCCCGCTGCTACTCCCTCCCCTGCCACTTTCTCCCCTGCAGGCGGCACGACCTTCCGCCTCCTCGTACTCTCGCTCCTCGCAACCCCCGAAGCTGAGGCGTTCCGCGACCCGCTCGCCCTCCTCGTCGAACTCTGCCTACGCTCCTTCTTCTCCCCCTCGCCCGACGCCGTCCCATCCCTCTTCTTCTCCCCCGCTGCTGCGGGTGACGCAACCCCATTCGCAACAGACGCAGGCCCGCTGACTCTCTCTGTGCGCTCTACCAGTCCCGCCCTACGCACCCATGCCCTTCGACGCGTGTATCGCCCCAACCCGCCTCGCGGTCCCATCTTCTCGAAATGGTTGTCGCCGTACTGCCAGCCTTCGTCGTCGACCGACCAGGAGGCGAAGAGAGTCGAGTCGGTGTAGGTTAGACCGGCGGCTGTGGGGGTTGTGAAGGATGGAGAGGCGATAGCGCCGGGTGAGGAGATAGGCGCGGAGGAAGAGGTGGCGGATGCGACGGCTGACGAGGCGGATCCGAGGATGCGTGAGAGGGTAGGGGAAGGAGGAGATGCGGCTACCGCACTGCTTTCAGGCGACGCGGGCGAGACGGGAGGACCACCTGCTCCTGCCGCTGGAAGCGAGACGGACGCGACGGCCGAGCGCAGGACGTGCCACTCTGGGTCGAGCCAGCGCCATTCGGTCGTCTTTTTGAGGCGGGAGTTCGGGTCGGACTTGGTTGGCGAGGGGATATAGGCCACCGAAGGAGCGGGAAGGACGAAGGACGAAGGAGGGTTGGCGGGGTTGTTGTCCGGGTCCGTCCTGCGAGAGCAAATGTCAGCGCTCGCAACTAACGACGAAGAGACGCGCCAACGCACCAGCTCGCCCGCTCGCCCGGCAAGAGCGCATGCGTCCAGTCCAACCCGACCCACCACCGCTGATTCTCAAACACCGTAAACTGGACCTGGATGTCCTCCTCGTCTCCCTGCACGGCAATGTCCTCCTCGAGCGCCGCCTCTTCCGCTACCTTCTCCGGCGCAACAACCGGTGCAGCAGAACCAGCTGTCGCGAGAGGCGGCGAGCTCTTCGCGCTGCTGACGACGCTACTGCTCCGCGGCTTCTTGACCGACTTCTCCTCGACCACTACAGCGCCCTTGGCCGTCCCGCCGCGCCCACCGAGCTGGGCAGCCTGCGAGCCAATCAAGCCGGGAATGCCGATCCCGCTCTTCGTCCTGCGCACCTCCTTGCGCACACCCTTTCCGCCCCGCAGCACGCCAAGGAACAGCCTGAATGTCCATCGCACGAACGCACTGCGCCACAAGAGCGTGCGGAGGGTGGTGAAGAACGGTGCCTGCCAGAGGATTGCGACCGAGCCGAGGACGAGGAAGATGTATTTGAGGGGGACGAAGTAGGTCAAGGCGAGGTAGAAGGGGTACGAGGTGAGGCAAAGCCACGCGGTCGCGTAGGCTGGTGCGGGCGTCGAGGGCCGGAGAGGGGTGAAGCTGAAGTGAAGCGAGAGAGGGTGGATGACGCCGGTGCGGAAGGACTGGACCTGTTCGGCGAGGATGTGCGCCGAGTTGATGAGCTGGGCGTAGGCGGCGGGTGAGAGTGTCGCTGAGCGGGACCTGTGGCGGATGGACGACGAAGCGGACGTCTTGGCTCGTCGGGCGGAGAGGTACCCGCGAAGGATGAAGACGAGGACCGCCGCGTTCACGCCGTACAGCGCGACCCAGTACCCGAAGAGGCAGACTGCCCACCAGCCGAGGAGAACGAGCAGCGAGCCGAAGAACGAGGGGTGCGTCCAGGTGACGAGCTGGACAAAGGTCGCTCCGGCATGGATGACGGGAGCCGAGAGTGCGAAGAGCTTGAGGAGGGTCGGCGGCGTCGCGAGGAGCAAGTCAGTCGGCGATGGCTCCTCGCTCGGCGGTGGGCTGGTCGACGAGACGAGCGGGTTGGCGAGAGTCGAGGGGCGGGCGGGGGAGGATGCGGCCGAGGGTGTGTTGCCCGCGAGCGACGGGAGGGCCTTCATCGGTGCGACCACGCGCAGGGACGGCTCCGTCCACAAGGTATCCGTGCTGGTACGAGCGAGAGACGGTCAGCGAGCACTCGGTCGACGGCGATGACAGCGGCGAGCTCACGTGAAGAGGCAGGCTCCGCCCCGTCTCGCTCAGACGGAGACAGAACAGTCGAGAGGGTGTGCTGCATGGTTCAGCAAGATCAGCGTGACTCCTTGCTCGCTCGTTCGCCTTTGAAGCCCGCCTCCCTCATCCCCCCGCCGTTCCGACTGATGAGGAACCGCCGAGTCGCGCGACCGTCCCGAGGACTTGCGCTGCGCGTGTACGCCATCTTGCAGCCCAAAGAGAGCCACTCACCGAAGGAGGGGGACGTAGCACGCGAGGAGACGCCGTGAGAGAGTTGCCGGGTTGCTCGAGGCGGTGAAGAGGTGGATAGAAGTTGGCGAGGGCGCGGAAGGGCTGTCTAGACGAGTCGAAGCAGTCAAGCACACTACGCAGAGCTCGACAAGCCAGACAGCGAAGCGAAGGAACTCGTCGAGGGGAGAAGACCGCCCTCGTTCTCCTCGACGGCGACCTCAGGCGGGTTACGATCTCCGTCAGCTCTCGCTCCGTTCGTAAGCCAGCCCTTGAAAACCGCAAGAGCAGTGTAGCGTCAAATTGGCCAGGCGAGCGGAGCCGGAAGCAGTACAACGCGAGATGATCCTCCTCTCCATTGTCAGTTCGCTGCCTTCGCCCGTTCACGCTGTTGCACTCCTCCGAGCGGGACGAAAGGAAGCTCAGGTCATCTCGAGGAGACTATCGATCGTCTTGCCCATGTCGCCGCTGTTGCTCAGGAGGACCTGCTCGCAGTCAAGCCGTCAGTTCCCACCCACGACCGCAGAAACGAAGCGCAACCCGGACTCACCATCTCAAGTACCTCGCGCTCCGCCTCGGGAAAGATATTCTGCAGCGTCTCGAGCTGCGCCATCCTCGCCTCCTCATGCTGCCGATCAATCTCCCTCAAAACCACATCGTCGCTGACGTCCGGCGCGGCGTACATCGACAAGTCGGGCGGTGGGGCGGCAGTCTGTAGCGAGCCTGACGACGGAGGGAGCGGGGGAAGAGGAGGACGAGAGAGGGAGGCGTGGTAGCTTCGTCGTTTCGAGGGGTGAGGACGCTGCGAGCCGGGATATCCCACCTGGGGGTGTTCGACGCTTGGAGTCGGCGGCAAAGGCGCAGGCGGTGCACGGACGATCCCCGGAGTCGAAGGCGGCGTCTGGCCCGTCAACTCGTTCGCCGTCTCCTCAAGCTGCGCAAAGACCCTCGCGAGCGCGCCCAGGGGCTTGCTCATAGCCCTCTCGACCGAGTCCGTCCCGCGAATGAGCGACTGCTTCATCGTTTCGGGGAACGAGAGGTTCTGAGGCGTGGCGGGAGCGACGCCGCCTTCGCCTGTTGGTGCGAGGAGCGAGGCGGATGCTGCTTCGGAAGGCTGGATCAGGTCGCTGGATGTGGATGTTGCATCTCGTACCGGCGGTCGAGTCGAGGGAGTGGAAGAGCGAGAGGGCGTGGGAGGGTCGTGAGGAGGCGGCGGGGGAGGGGGTTCTTCGGACGCGAGTTGCTTGACTGCGGCGGCGACTTTCGATTCGAACTCTTGCTGCGTGATGTTCGACAGCGAGGAGGCGTCGAGAGACTCGATGAAGGAGATGGCGGCGTTCTGCGAGAGCAGTAGCTCAACCGAAGGTCTGGGATGAAGCGAGCAAGCGGAACGCACGAGACTCGAAAGGTAGTACCCGCCCTCACCCGACAGCTTCTCCGGGTTGCGGAAGCGCTGGATGTACCTGCACACCAATTCGTGAGCTGGAACGCTTGTATATAGAGCTGGTGCTAGCACTTACTGGAGGTTCGAGACGAGGTGGTCCGGGTTCGCCTTGATGACGACGTAGATCAAGAACGGGATGAACGTGTCGGCGCCTTCTTCGCCGCTCGCGACATGTCGTATCAAGCCTATCGCCCCGGCTGTCAGCGATTCCAAATCTGCAAAGGCAGGCGGGCCGGACGCACCGAAGATGACCTTGCAGCAATTGAGCACGCAGATGAGCTTGTCGCGCGGCGCCTTGTACTGATTCATCTTGCGCAACTCGCGCTGCGCAAAGTCGAGGAAGCCCTGGATCTGCTTCCTCCCTCCCTTCTCCTTCTTCCCGGCGTCCTTACCCTCCTCGACAGGCTTGTCGTCCGTTGTTGAAGGCTCCGAGGCATCCGCCCCGCCTTCTTTGGAGAGTGACTCGGTCGATGGAGGATCGGAAGGTGAAGGGATAGGCAAGTCGAGGTGTTTCGGCTCGATCCAGGAGAAGAGTCGTATTCGTTGCCGGAGAACGTCGTCGCGTTCGACGTCGCCAGAGGGCGACATGTGTCCGGGAAAGGCTGAGAGGTCGAGTGCTGGCGTGTAGGTGCTGCGTTGGACAGCTTGTGAGCGAGATTAGCGGAAGCGGGAGGAGGACCGGAACGAACAGGTGCCACAACCGGTTCATGACAAGCTTCTCCATCGCCTCCATCGCCAGGTCAAACTCCTGTTCCGCGCGCTCCGGGTCATCTCGCCAGTCGACATCGAGCATGCTCTTCCACGGATCCGCGTGTCGCATCTTGCCGGCGATAAAGTCGAGAAAGTCGTTGATCACGCGGACTTGGTCATTGGTCGAGACGGGTGGGCGGCGGGAGAACTCTTTCAGGAAGCTACGACGGAGAAGATCAGCTTGTACGCAACCGCGAGGGGATGAATGGAACGCACGACCGCAAGTACTTGGCGATAGGATCCGCCGACCTGCTCCGCATCTGCTCGAGGAACTTGTTGAAGTCAAAGACAGGTTCTTCCCTCTCCCTTGCCCTGCCATCGCCACCAGCCTGCCTCATCGCCGCCTTCTCATCCGCCTGATCCGCCTTCTCCTCCTCGACATGCTTCTCCTTCTCTTTGCCCTTCGCTGCACCGGAGCCGGCAATGGCAGCAATGAAGGTACCTTTCTCCCGTTGTGGAGAGCTGCCGGGTTGAGGGGTACTGGTGGTGCTAGATGACGGAGACGGGCGGTTCGAGGAGCGGAAGACGGAGGCGATCGACGCGAGGGGCTTGGCGAGTGGTGACGGGCCTGATGGCGTTTGCGGAGCAGGTTGAGAGGTCGATGGCTGCGAGGGAGTTGCGGGCGAGGAGGTGGACGCCGAGGAATGGCCTGCTGACGGTTCGGGATGAGGCTGAGTCGGTGCCGCCTTCTCCCGCTCCTTCGTAGGCGTCCCACTGAAACTCCTCAGCATATTCCCAAAACTGAAAGCTGCCGAACCCTGACCCTGCACCTGCTGACCCTTCCCGAGCTCCTGCTGATCCCGCATCCGCCTGTCCTCGACCGGACTCCCCTCCTCACTCTCGCTGTTCTCAATAACCTCGAGCCGACTCTCCCGCCGTACGGTACTGCCGAGTGTGCCTTGAGCTGGCGCAAACGGGTCGAGGTCGTGCAAGTCGACTGGAGGTGGTGGGGGAGCTGGTGCCGGAACAGCGTACGAGGCGTGGTAGCCCGGCGCCGAGACGGTTTGTGCTGGGTCACTCGGTGGCTTTGACGTGCTCGCAAGGGTCGCCCAGATGTCGGACGGGTTTGACGAGTCGTCAGAAGCCTCGGGAGTTAGCTGAGGCGGGGTGTCGAGCGAGGCGGCGAGAGGAGCGAGATCTGGGAAAGCAGCCGGATCTGATGGTTTGTCCGCGTCCATCGCAGCGCACACGAGCTTAGCAAGCCGGTGAAGCGGTGAGTGACGAGTGAGAGGAGCGAGCGAGCGACTCTTGGGAGAGACCACACTGGCGACACCGCAGGGAGGGCTCAGCGAGGGCTGTGGCAGAGCTTGTGGTACCGTCGAGTCCGTACGATAATCTCTCGCCGCACCGGTTCGCCCCGAAGCCGCGACGTCGGCCTCCTCACGCCTCCTCGCCTCTCCACCTCGCCGTACGACGCGCGCAACGGTAGAATGGGGCAGAATGTGGTACCAGACAATGGAGGAGACTGTGAGGACGCTGCTGGAGCTGTAGCAGGCCCGCTTGAGGACTGTATGCAACGCTGTGCGTCCTCATCAGTTTGGGGAGGATGAGGAGGACCGGGTTGCCCAACAACACCCTCTGGCTGAGAGTACATAGTCTTGGATGGATCAGTGAGGTTCGCTGAGAGTCTAGAAGGAGCCACAGCGCGCACCGGAAGTTGCCGCCTGCGTCGAGGGTGTTCCCGCTCGCCTCGATCCCTTCTTCGCCTCGAACACCTCGCTGCAGCTGCTCACAGTCGCGCAGGACGCGCTATACCCGCTTGTCCGTGCTCTGAGACTCTTTTCATACCCACCCAGCCATGCAGGCAGCGCCCCAAGGCTCGTCGACTCTCCCCCGCCCTCCCGTTCATCCCGCCCCCGGATCAGCCTCCGAAGACGCCCACACCGATAGCGGGGACGACTCGCCGCGCAAACGCAAGAAGAAGAAGAACCTGCGAGCGTACGTCCCTCTCCTCGCCGTCCCGTCGTCCTCGTCGCGCTGCACGCTGGTCCCGGACCCCTCCGAGGAGGTCAACTTTATTCGAAGGCTTTGGCTGACCCCGCTCGACATCCCGGACGCTTGTGGTCACAGTTGCGACAGCTGCAGGGACAAGAAACTCCGGTGCATCTACATCCCGGACGTCGAACCGCACATCTGCTTCGAGTGCGAAAAGGTCCGTCTCCTACCCCCGCTCGCGATCGCCTGCTCGTCCCGCTAACCTTCCGCTGTGCCACTGTACGCAGCGCAAGCTGGTATGCGAACAAGTACGGCCGGCCAAGATCGACCCGCGCAAGAGGGCCAAGCTCGCACTCCTCGAAGCCCGCGATGTCAGCCGGGCATCTTCCCTCACTCCCCTCTCGGCAAGCCCATCCGTCGCTCCGACTACTTCACGGCCAACAAGGGCATCGTCGTTGGAACCTTTGCGAGGCGCGACCAATGGGCTGGATGTCTTGGCAAGATGGTGAGTGGGTGCACTCCGCGAATGACGGGACCAGCTGACAGGCTGGCTTCGCAGCGTCGACCGCGTGTCCGAGCGCTTGCACCAGGAGAAGCCGTCTACGCCCGACCACCTCATCACCTCGACTCCGGACGTCCGCATGCTCGGTTCGTCCGCGTTCACAGCCTTGTCAAGCCTTCCGCAGAGCTGACTCCCATTGCTCGCGCAGGCGAGACCTGCGTCGCACAGTTGCTGGCAGACCTGCAGCCGAGCGAAGCGAAGGACGTGGTCGACCGCGAGTTTGGGCATTCCCGAGGCGAAGACGGCTCTGTACGGGCGTTGTTGCCGTCTCAGCCGCAGCCGAACGTCTCGCGGCCACACGGCTACCTTACTAGCGAGACTGTACTCGACCGTGCGTCCCGTCTCGTCCTGGCGAGGACTTGAACGTGTGAAGCTGACCCTCCCTCGCTGCATAGTCGTCCAGCACTTCATCGACCACATCCTCCCCCTCTTCCCCGTCATAACCGTCGAGGAACTCCGAGCACTCGACACCCTCTCCCCCGTCACACTCATGAGCGTCTGCGCCGTCGCTGCCTGTTCGAGGAAGTATCCCTGGAGCTTGCTCGACACGGTTAGGGCGTTCCTCAAGACGGCGATTGAGATGTCGGATGTGTTTTCGACGAGCTCGATTGCGAATGTGCAGGTGCGCGCGGCGACGACGGCGATTCCTGTGACGATGAAAGGCTGACTTGCTATGATGCAGGCGAACCTGATCATGGCGATGACCTCGGTTCGTTCCCGCTTCCCTCGCCTCGCACACGGCACACAGAACAGCGCTGACGCTTCTCAATAACCCGTAGGAAGTGCACGATGCGACGGCTTCCGGCGGCGGCTCGATGAGCCTGATCCGAGCAGGACTTTGCGTCCGTATGGCTCACGACCTTGTGCGTATACGCGTCTCGCCTGCAGCTCTATACCGTCGAGGTGAACAGCGGCTGACCGAGCGAGCCCGTGTATCCACAGGGCCTCCATCGAAGACCGCCCTCCGACTTATCGGCGGAGGAGAAGTCAAAGCGGATGCGATTGTGGCTCGGATGCGTCATCATGGACAAGTGGTGCGTCCTCACGGTTCCTTTGGCTTCTGACCCATACTGACCTCCCCGACTTCGCAGGTACGCCGCCTCGTTCGGCCAACCACAGCTCATCGACGCCGACGACTGCCACGACTACCTCTCCGAACCGCACGACATGGACCGCTACCTTGTCGAGCTGTACAAGCTGAGCGAGCTGAATGGTCGAGCACGTGCGTTGCGATCCTTGCTCCTCTCCTCGTCCCGCTTCGGATGCTGACCTTCGCAACTTGCGCTCTCTCTCCCGGCTGTTCGTAGTCAAGGCCGTCTCTCGCCCTCGACTGCGCAAGACGACCGACGCGCAGCTGCACGCGATCCTCGCCGACTTTGACGCCTGGCTCGCGCGGCTGCCGGACTCGCTCCAATTTGCGGGACCTGACTCGTCGATCCAGGCTGGCGGTATGTACTCGCTGCTCGTCTGCTTCGAAGTGTGTCACATTGCGCTCCTGATTGTCCAGCGTTCGAGCTGACAAAGATCGCCTCGGGCAGAGCGTCTTCCTCCGCCCCTTCGTCAAGCAAGACGGCGACATTCCCGCTCACCTCCAGTTCCGCCCCACCGCAGCGCGGTGGTTCGCCGTCATCACGCGCTCGCAGTTCGCGATCGACTGGATGCTCACGAACGGGACGATCGCGATCGACTGCTTCTTCCCGGGCATGTACTCGGTCATGATGAGCTGCTCTGCGCAGTTCTTCAGCCACACCAAGTCCGGATCGGTGCAGAACTTGCAGTGTATCGAGGCGGTCAAGAATGGGATGCACCGCTGGGCGCTTGCGAACCAGGACGGCGAACTGTCGATCCGACAGAAGTGCTACAAGATCTCGACGCTCTTGTGGCAGGCGGCGGCGAGAAGGCATCAGGTCGTACCCGTCGGAGCGACGCCCAAGGCGGAACAGCCGGCATACCAGACGCCGCAAGCAGCGTCGCCGCCGACATCCGGCTCGCCCGCTCCTCAG